AAAAAAGAAATGACAATAACTATAATCAATAACCAACTTTTACAGAAAAATAACAAACTAAAAGAAATGCAACGAGAAAAGTTCAGTATTTTCAGTATCGCCAATGAGCTAGGTGTCACAGATGATTTTTGAAGTAAAACAAATTTGCTTTAGTTCCACGTATGGTCCACTGATATGAAATGGAATGATCATCTTTATAGGCATGTATGCTCAATTCTGTATCATTTTTAATAAGGGCAAGAAGCAGCTCCGAGATAAATACTAATATCGTCTCGGTGTACAAAATCACAAAAGAGGAAGTAAAAAGTCACACACAATAACACTTCCTGGAGCAAAACTCACAAAACACTTAGTTGTTAACAACACTGCTTATGTAGTTATAGCCTGTCATCAAAGTTATTTTAAGACTGAAAGAAATGATGTGCTCATTTACACTTTGACACAGGATGAGAGTCTAAAACTATTAATGACTTTTAATGAAGCTCGCAATCCTACGCTTCAAAAGACAGATCATAATACGGTAGTTATAATCATGTTCTGTGTATTATTTACGACAAATGTGTCAATGTTTGTCGCTTGTTCTATTGGGAGGGACAGCCATTTTATAAACGACCTCCCCAAGTTGACTGTGATTCGATATACTATATTAAGTAACAAGAAAGACAAAGAGGTGACATGACACTGTGCGAGATTAAGTTCGTACATACCATTCTTCATCATTTCATCATAATGTTGCATTATTAATTTAATCTGCTAACCTATATGATAAAATAATACATCATAGCTATTATGTGAAATGACTGGATTTAGTAACCTCGGCATTCATCCTCTTTTCCAGATTCATGTAATTTAGAGGTGATGGCTCCTGCTTAAAGATATTTGACTAAAAATAATATTTTAATGATATTTAATGATCATTGTTATTCAGTACCTCATTTCTAGTGTTGTTACATTTAATTGAAATTGCCTCTTCAGGTTCATTTACTGGTGCTGCAATATAGAAAACTACAATAGCCAATAATAATATCCATGTAGCACAAAACGCTATCAAAGACATGTTTTGGTCTGTGTGCCAAGTGCAATCTATCCAAATCTGCCACTACTGATAATAGCTAATCTAAAGTTTGGACTCTGAACAGTCGCTTTAAACAGTGGCTAAAGCGGCGGAGCTGAACCCGGGCCCACCCAGTGGCGGAGCTGAACCCGGGCATCAAATCTCTGTAATGAGATTCATTAGATGCCTTGCCCAAAGTTTAGATAGAGCCAACCACAAGCCTCACCAGAGTACTAATAAGTGCATACAGGTGGATATAAGCAATTAGCAAGCAATTTTCAAGTAAAATACCCAAAGAAAAAGCATTATACATGTATTCAAGAGAAGGATGTATTAAAAAGCATCTATGGAAAAAGTTAGAAACTGGACACACCCACATCCGGGCCTGGGCATCAGTTGAGTTCCAGCTCCGCCACTGGCTTTAAATACTAATCAACCAACCTCAATGTAGTTCAACACAACACGTAAGGGTACCAAACTTGAGGTTTTTCACCAAACAATGTGTGGGGTTTCATGATACGCTGTACAAGCAGGATCAAAATCCTCAAATACATGTACCATACAAATTAAAGCTCTGGGAGGTTTTACACATGACAAGGGCGTAGCTAGCATAAAGGCGGATTTACAATATTACGCTAGTCCTGACGTTACGTTGACACTGGAATAGAATCTGGTTCTATTCCAGCGGAAAGCATGCGTCAAAAGGTCAAATCGCCCACGTTTTTGATTAAAAATTGACGGTACGCTGGCCTAATGTCATATTGTAAATCCGCCTTAAGGCTAGGGTAGGCTATAGCTTACCCTAAAGTTCAGAAGTCAGAATTGAAGTTTAGTAGTTTTATGTTGAGTTTAATAGAAGTTTAGGGTATGTCTCAACCGGCAGTTACTCACTCAGTCACTTTTGACACAGGCAAACAGAGACAGGAGAAAGCGAGGGGTCCGCAACGGGCTTGTAATCTCTGGCGTAGAAACTCTTTGGTAATCCAGTAATCCAAAAGATAATATTGGGATAATCCAGTAATCTTGGAAGAATTCAGTAATCTGTAATCCAGGATTTAACAAATTTACTGAAAAATCCTAATAATAATTTTGAGTATCCGGAGTTAAAAACCCACCCATTGGTTTTATAAAAAGTTATTAAAACCACACCCATTGTTAATTAATAAGGTCAGCCTGTAATCCTTGGTAATCCAGCTTGTAATCCCTGGTATTACATCCAAGTAATCCAGCTTGTAATCCCTGGTAATCCAAAGAATCTACCTATAATCTTGGTAATCCACTCATAATCTTGGAATTCTCCTGGTAATCCAAAAGTAATCCAGTAATCAATTGGTAATCCTAGTAATTTTTGTAATCTCGTAGAGATTTTCTTCCCGTTGCGAACACCTCGGGAGAAAGAAAAGAAAACAGCCATTTTAGCACAATTATTATTAAGGTGGAGTCTTTACATAATTAACTTAATTAATTAGCTAGCTTAATAAAATTATAAAAAGTTAACTTTAAGTGAAGCCATCACAATGTCAGCTGCAAAGAAACAAAAGCTATGTGAATTATTATGCAAATTTTAGCTGAGTATATTAGTAGTCAACCGCAGCCATATAGACTGTTTGTACTGAAGATGAGCATGAGGAGATTGAAGATGATGATATTGTATATAAATGATGATTTTGTTGATTGTGCTGCTACCTTGAGTCTGGCCTGAGTTCTCATCTGAGTCTGAGTGTGAAGCAGTTGCGAGAACCATAGATATTAGAGTAAATGAAACTCCATATTGCGAGAACACGCCCATTTCGAGGCCGTAAAGTGGGTGTGCCCATAAAAGTGGGCATGGCCAAATGGGTGGTGCGCTTTGCGCGTCCTTTTCTTCTCACCCTTTCCTTTTTTCTCCCTACATTCTTGATACAGACCACTGCAAAGAAGTAACATTATCATGAATAATTTGTGAAACTGACAAAACCCACAATGACCTGATGATGTTTGAACAGCCAACTATAAAATGATACCTGTAATCAGTCGGAGTGTAGGCAGTGGAGTGATGGTTGACTATGGACCCTAGTCACCTTTCCTCCAGTGGTCCCTGCCTACTAGAGCGTTAGTTCTAGATTATAGAAGTGTGACCCCCTATTCTACATTGATCCTATGTAATCTTTGTGACTTCCCTCTTTTTTTTCATAAACTAGACGGTACTTCATAATTTTTGTATTTTTTTATTATTTCATACATTACAATAGAATTTTGGAAGTGGATATTGGTCCGGCAGCTGGACGCCTACTTCAGAGCTATAGATCCGGCAGTCCATTGTTCTCCGTAAAACAGCTTGTGCGCATGCGCAATAGTGCAAAATGGAACTTGGTCTTTTTATCAAGAAACCAAGAAATCAAGGTGCTCTAAAAACTAAACACTAAACCCCAATCCCAACCCTACGACCCCGGAGGCTAAGATGTACGAGAGGGTGTTTATTTCTTTAAAAAATAGCAAAAAAAGTAATTAAAAAAAAGAAAAAAAATCAAACATTGCAGCATAGTTTTAGTCAGTATTCCCGACAGGATTCAAACCGCTGACCACATACGTGCAATCCACAGTCCACACCAGCCTCTCCACTACACCACCACAGCCCTGCTGCATCACGTTGCTGATTGTCGTATTTATACTTGATATCTGTATATAAAATCGTGTATTAGTATACTGGGGCTTCGCCCCAGTATACTAATTTAGGGGCTGCCGGATCTATAGCTCTGAAGTAGGCATCTGGCTGCTGGACCAATATCCACTTCCTAGAATTTTTGAGGCTATAGTTTCCAGATTTTAAGTGACTAATATGACTGCCCTATTATTCTTAATAGTTGGTTAATGTACGGCAATGCTATTTGCATAATAAAAGCACAGGATGTTTGTTGTAATGACTAGTAATCACACCCACAATAGCCTCACTATGTTTAATCAACCGACTATAAAAGGACACTTGTGTCATATCAAGCGAGGCACTGGAGTGATGCATCCTCCAGTGACCTCCGCCCGCAAGGCTGACCCTTGCTGTGGGTGGGAGGTATCAGGACTGGTCGCGACTTCTGATGCATCTCCCCCTTCAGCTTGGCTCATCTCTGCGGATGTTTTTTTTACTTTTACTTCATAGAGTGCCCGGATTGAAAATATTTGATATAATTATGAATAATTATACTATAAAGAATAATCTAGTAATTGTGAGTGAGAGACACTAGTATCACTTTATAGTTCATTCCATGTCTGTAATGGACTGTTTGTTATTATTTGATGTATATACAATTTACTATCCAATGCATACTGAAGATGTTTTTGTTAATTATAATCATGACTCAGCAGCAGGCTGTGAATTGTGTGTCCCACAATGACTTCACTACGTTAAATCAACCGACTATAAAAGGATAGTTCATATCAGTGTGAGTGAAGGATGGGAAGTGGTTGGTCAATGGGCCCAGGCCATCCATTCTCCCATGTTCTCTGCCCGCTGGGTTGAGTTGCACTGTGTATTGGGACATCAGGTCTGGCCCCTCCCTTTCCTGATGTACTCCACTGCACACTGTACCTCCTCTCAGCTGGTATCTCTCTCTCTTACTTTTTTGCTTCATATATATAGTCAAACACTGCTTGAATTTTTATGTTTTATTTATTATGCATAGTATAATTCATACATCACACATGAATTTGTTGATTATAGTCACAACTCATTGTGTGAAATTGTGTGTCCCACAATGACCTCACTATGTTAAATCAACTGACTATAAAAGGATAGTTCATATCAGTGTGAGTGAGGGAAGGGAGGTGGGTGGTCAGTGGGCCCCTAGGCCATTCATTCTCCCATGCTCTCTGTCTGCGGGGTCCGAGTTGCTTTCTTTCAGTGTGTCGGGCATCAGCCTCGATCCCTGGTGCTCTTCTAACACACTTGCAACTCCTCTCCGCAGATAATTTCACTTTTTCTTAATCATAATTATCATTTGTTAAAAGAGGAATTCTGATAATAGTCCAGTAGGGTTTGTCAGTTGTGATTGAGAGATGAGATATTCCTCAGCAGTAGAGCTACAGTTCATTCTGTGCCTGTAGTATATAAGTATAATCATTATAAAGTACACATAGGGAACTAACCATTGGAAATGTTCATTACAGCACAGAGCATTAGTTATTGACTTCAGACCTTTGATGACCTAAACCACAACATGATCTGGCTGAATTACTGATAGCTGACTGTTACAAAAACTATTTTTTATAGTCTAATGGCAAAAAGGTCACATCACAAGCTAATATTGTACTTGTCACACCCTACAAAAAACTTTTTATTGAGTCAATTTGAGTGCACCTCCTGGTCAAGATAATAAATAATTTCAAAAATTGTTCCTATCTAAACAACAGGCTGTATTACAGGTGCTGCAGATACATGTCCCACAATAGCCTGACAGTGTAATTTACATGTACACATAGGGGTAGGAACAGGGGGGGCAGGAGGGGCTTAAGCCCCCCCAACTTTCATTGAAGGGGGGCTTAGCCCCTCCAACTTTAAGTGATATACACGTATTACTATTATCAACACTATAGACTTTAGTTTAGGTAATCCTTAAACATGTGTATGTGTGCATATTGTGTGATGATTCGTTTTATAAACATTTAATACACTATCTTAACTTCTAAGAACACGCACTCTTATTATTATTTTCAGAAATACACAAGGTTCTACTTTTTTATTTACCAACTCTGTTAACATCAGCTTCAGCTAAGCATAGATTTTTAACGACCTGGGGGCGTAGCCCCCAGGTCGTTCCTATAATTGATTTCACCCACGTGCGATGTTTGTATATATATATATATATATATTTGTATGTCCACACTTACATTTCTTCTATACATGTTGTATTGGAGAAATAACAAAATTCATAAGCCTTAGCAACCACCCGCCCACGCTCCTTTACGTAAGTGGGTGTGGTCACGGCAAGCAAAATGGCGGCTTACATATAGGACAAAGTTATAAGCTTTCTAACAGCAAGAGAACATAGAGATACAGTCTCAAGACCTTTCTTGAAGCATTAGAAGGTAGAGAGAACCTCTATAAGTTTTATTAAGAACCCAGTTGTACTTGTAAGGTGGTGAAATCAATTATAGGAATATTTTTTACACTGTTACGCTTGTTGACATTAAGGACATTAAAAAACTACTTGCACTCCACAATGTCACAAGAGCATCTTAATCATGTAGTTATTTTGCATACACACAAAGACAGATGATTTACACATTGAGGACATTGCAAAGGAACTTGTTACATTTAATGAGCTTAGATGCCAATATTTTGGACAATATTAATTCTGTACATGCCATGTATTAATGATCCATTGTTAAATCATGCTCCTATGATTGTATATAAATAATACCTTAGCCCCCCCCAACTTTTAGTTTGTTCCTACCCCTATGCATGTACATAAAACCAATCGTATACATCAAAAATTGCTACTCCTCATGGCTATGCATCAGAACCGTTTCATGTTTAGTGCACGCACAGACATGATCTGGATCTTATGCATAGAGGAGGAGCAGCCACCCTGCTTGTGAGGTTGTGCCTAGGACCAAGCAGGGTGTTCCATATTTTATTTTGATAGGTGTGAAGAAGAATCATATAGTCAATGGTTTTTATACTAAAAATTAGATTATCTAACAATGAAATCTATTTTTCAGACACCTTGCAATTGCTTGGCTATGTAATTCCTACACTCTATAAAACCAATCATGGTACTCTACCCATTACAGTTGTTCAAGCAACCACATAGAACTGAAGTGAGTTATTGAGTGGCAATGAATGCATCAATGATACACTGACAGGTCTATGTGCCCTCCTATGGTGGTCTGGCTAGCCTAGCCCATGGTGATCTTGCTTGAACAACTGCTGCCTTGCTTGTTCTTAGGATCAAGCAAGGTGTTTTTGTTTTTTTTCTCATTTGGTACTAAGTATAAAAATACTACAAATGCTTTGGATTGGTAAGTTTGATTCATTAATACTGTCACCATGTCACGTGAGAAGAGATATCATTTTTCGCATGATTGTTTTATCAAGAGTTGCTGTGTAAACTGTCGCTGTTATGCATGCGCCCCACAATTGCTTGACTATGTAATTCCTACACTCTATAAAACCAGTCATGTACTTTACCAATTGCAGTTGTTCAGGCAGCCGCACAGACCTGGAGCACTCCATCAGTGCACAGATGGTGTAGCACAGGTCTGTGTGTCTCCTGCGGTGGTCTGGCTGTGGTGGCCTGTGACCCCATAGGTAATGCTGCCTGAACAACAGCCGCCTTGCTCGTGCCTAGGATCGAGCAAGGCGTAATTTTTTAAATTTTTAATTGAATATCTTTTTGTTACCAGAGAAATTCTTAATTCTCGAAAAGTTATATTACACATACTGTGTAAATTACAAATCATAGCTGTAGTAACAATTATAGTAGTACAATTGCCAGTTAATGAATTTGCTTTTAGACAATTAGACAATGTTAATTTGATTCATTATTTTGTTCCAGTGTGCCCCAAAAGTGTATGAACATGTTATTTGACATGAGTATAAATAAGCCTGTCCCCTCTTATGAAGTACAATACACCGCTAGCTGTTTCCATCACTAGCTGTTATTGTACCAAATTTGACTTATTATTAAGCGAAACTTACTACTCACATTAACACCATGAGGGTAGTAAGCTAGCGATTCTTTTTCTATTGTCAATTTTTATTATATAGCTAACTTCTATATTTTTACTCAAAAATACTAAAAGAATTCCTTGATCAGAAAAATTCAATAAAAAGTAAAAAATTATGTTGGTTTGGCAAAAGACCATGACTTATTTTTAATAATGGTTCTTTTGAAGATAATTATTACAAATAATTTATTAAAAAGATTAACGCTAGCCTAGCTGACAGAGATTTGAGGCTATAGTTTCCAGATTTTAAGTGACTAATATGACTGCCCTACTATTTTTAATAGTGTCATTGTGGTTAATGTACGGCAATGCTATTTGCATAGTAAAAGCACAGGATGTTTGTTGTAATGACTAGTAATCACACCCACAATAGCCTCACTACATTGAAACAACCGACTATAAAAGGACACTTGTATGATCAAGCGAGGCACTGGAGTGATGCATCCTCCAATGACCTCTGTCTGCAAGACTGACCCCTGCTATGGGTGGGAGGTATCAGGACTGGTCGCGACTTCTGATGCATCTCCCCCTTCAGCACGGCTCATCTCTGCAGATGTTTTTTTTCACTTTTCCTTCATAAAGTGCCAGGATTTAAAATATTTGTTATAATTATGAATAATTATACTATAAAGAATAATCTAGTAATTGTGAGTGAGAGACACTAGCATCACTTTATAGTTCATTCCGTGTCTGTAATGGACTGTTTAAATTACAATTTAATGGACTCTATAAAAGGATAGTTCATATCAGTGTAGAGTGAGGGATGGGAAGTGGTTGGTCAATGGGCCCAGGCCATCCATTCTCCCATGTTCTCTGCCCGCTGGGTTGAGTTGCACTGTGTATTGGGACATCAGGTCTGGCCCCTCCGTTTCCTGATGTACTCCACTGCACATTGTACCTCCTCTCAGCTGGTATCTCTCTCTCTCTCTCTTACTTTTTTACTTCATGCAAGCTTATATATAATTACAATATTCACACTATTTTTTTAAAAGAAGAATTCTGATAATAGTCCAGTAGGGTTTGTCAGTTGTGATTGAGAGATGAGATATTCCTCAGCAGTAGAGCTACAGTTCATTCTGTGCCTGTAGTATATAAGTATATCGTTATAAAATATACATATACAAATAAATTAACTACTAACTAACCATTGGAAATGTTCATTACAGCACAGAGCATTAGTTATTGACTTGAGACCTTTTGATGACCTAAACCACAACATGATCTGGCTGAATTACTATAGCTGACTGTTACAAAAACTATTTTTAATAGTCTAATGGGCTTGGCAAAAAGGTCACATGCATCACAAGCTATTATCGTACTTGCCACACCCTACAATAACTTTTTATTGAGTGCACCTCCTGGTCAAGATAATAAATAATGACAAAATTGTTCCTATCTAAACAACAGGCTGTATTACAGGTGCTGCAGTCCCACAATAGCCTGACTGTGTAATTTACATGTAGATAAAACCAATCGTATACAGTAAGAATTGCTACTCCTCATGGCTATGCATCAGAACCGTTTCATGTTAAATTGCGCACAGACATGACCTGGATCTGATACATAGAGGAGGAGCAGCCGCCCTGCTTGTGCCTAGGACCAAGCAGGGTGTTTCTTATTTTATTTTGGTAAGTCATACAATATGCTAAGAATGTGAATGTATCAATTTTATACTAAAAATTAAACTATCTAACAATAAAATCTATTTTTAGACAGTTTTGATTTATTAATATGTAAGAAAAAATATCATTTTTGCTTTATTAAGCATGTACTAATGTTGTTCTAATGTGTAAATGCAGCCCTATGTCTTTATCTTGGCTATGCGCCCCACAATTGCTTGGCTATACACTCTATAAAAGCAATCATGGTACTATGACCATTGCAGTTGTTCAAGCAACCACATAGAACTGCAGTGATATCATTGAGTGGGCCAATGAGTGCACCCAATGATACACCGGCAGATCTATGTGCCTCCTGTGGTGGTCTGGTTGATACCTGTAACCCCATTAGGGTAATGTTGCTTGAACAACAGCCGCCTTGCTTGTTCTTAGGACGGAGCAAGGTGTTTTTGTATTTTTTTAGTTCATTTGGTACCAGTACACTACAATTGACAGTTGTTAGGTTAATACAATGGATACATTATTATTAAGTTAATACTGTTATGCATGCGCCCCACAATTGCTTGACTATGTAATTCCTACACTGTATAAAACCAGTCATGTACTTTACCAATTGCAGTTGTTCAGGCAGCCGCACAGACCTGGAGCACTCCATCAGTGCACAGATGGTGTAGCACAGGTCTGTGTGTCTCCTGTGGTGGTCTGGCTGTGGTGGCCTGTGACCCACAGGTAATGCTGCCTGAACAACAGCCGCCTTGCTCGTGCCTAGGATCGAGCAAGGCGTAATTTTTTAAAGTTTTAATTGAATGTCTTTTTACCAGGGAAATTCTTAATTCTAAAAGTTATATTACACATACTGTGTAAATTACAAATCATAGTTGTAGGAACAATTATAGTAGTACAATTTCCAGTTAATGAATTTGCTTTTAGACAATTAGACAATGTTAATTTGATTCATTATTTTGTTCCGGTGTGCCCCACAAGTGTATGAACATGTTATTTGACATGAGTATAAAAGTTTTGCTTCTCTTCTATGAAGTACAATACAGCGCTAGCTGATATTGTACACAAAACTCACACTATAATTTAAAGCGAAACTTACTACTTGTGCATTAATGTATGGGTGGTAGGCTAGCGACTCTTTTTTATCATAATTCTATTTTAATAGCCAAAATTGCTATTGAGCATTTATGACAAAATGGTAAAAGAAAAATGTATTACAGTCAAACCTGTCTATTCCGGACACCTTGGGACTCAATAAACCTGTCCTTATTACAGAGGTGTCCTTATTTCAGAGGTCCATTAAATGTATTGGGACTGATACTACCTGTCCTCATTATAGAGGTGTCCTTATTTTAGACTGTCCACAATAGGAGGTTTGACTGTACAAGGTAAAAAATGGAAGTTACTGGTTTAGAAAAGACAATAGTTATTCTTAATCATAATTATTACAAAAATTTATTAAAAAGATTAACGCTAGCCTAGCTGCGTAAGCAGTTTGGTTTGTGGCCCAGAGGATTTAACTTGTTGGATGTGATTGGATCAATATGGTTTGTAAGAAACAACCACAACAAGCTAGCACCAAAGTGCACTTCTTCATACACATTCAATTGTTATATAGTCATGTGAAATAATATGAAAAAGCAATTGTGGGGCACATCAAAGAAGATAGTATTGTTATTATAACAAATTAGATCATGTCTTAGCTTAGGGCTAAGCTTTAGACATTTTAAAGACTATTTTGGCAAGGCCAATGCACCAACGGTGTCTTGTTTCATTTATTTTCTGAAACTTTTCAGTGTTTCTACTTTCTACATCCATGTAGTATGTACATGTATATGCATCTGGGCAAATTGGCACTGGGAGCAGGTGTAGACCCACAATTGCTTGACTATGTAATTTCTAAACTCTATAAAACTACTCATGTACCAAAACAATTGCTGCTGTGTACCCTACACAGGGTGGCCCGTGCCATCTAGTGCATGGATGGCATGCGTTAACTCGGTCATAGATATTTTCATATCTATGAGGCGATCCTGTGTTTGCCAGTGGTGGTCTGTGTCTCCAATGGCAGGATGTACCGTGACCTCTCATTGGTGAGGGGGGTACACAGCAGACGCCTTGCTTGGGGCCTAGGCTCCAAGCAAGGTGCTTTTTTATTCAAATGTAATACATCTATTGTGCTTAAAGCTAGTAGAAAGTTCATTTCAGGAAAGATATCATTTTTCAGATGATTGCTGTTATCAAATTCTTTATCTACATGGCAGCCCTCACCACTGTTATGTGCCCCACGATTGCTTAACTATGTAATTGCTACACTCTATAAAACCAATGATGAACTATATGAATTGCTGCTGTTCCTACCGCCACACAGGACTGAAGTGTGACATTGAGTGCACGAATGTCACACCTACAGATCTGTGTGTCTCCTCTGGTGGTCTGTTTATATACCTGTGACCCCATTGGTAATGCTGCAGGGGCAGCAGCCACCTTGCTCAGTCCTACAAGATCTGAGCAAGGTGTCTATTTATTAGGCTATATAATTTTTAATTTAATTTGAGACTATTCAATTATAATTTTTTTATTTGCTACATAAAATTATGAATAATGGCTGTAGTAATAATTATTGCCAGTCAATGAATATAACTTTTAAATTGATTCATTATTAGTTCTCGTGTGCCCCACAAGTGTATGAACATGTTATATGACATAAAAGTATAAATAAGCCTGTCCCCTCTTATGAAGTACAATACACTGCTAGCTGTTTCCATCACTAGCTGTTATTGTATCAAATTTGACTTATTATTAAGCGAAACTTACTACTTACATTAACACCATGAGGGTAGTAAGCTAGTGATTCTTCTTTTATTGTCAATTTTTATTATAATATAGCTAACTTCTATATTTTTACTCAAAAATACTAAAAGAATTCATTGATCAGAAAAATTCAATAAAAAGTAAAAAATTATGTTGGTTTGGCAAAAGACCATGACTTATTTTTAATAATAGTTCATGAAGATAATTATTACAAAAATTTATTAAAAAGATTAACGCTAGCCTAGCTGCGTAAACAGTTCGGTTTGCGGCCCAAAGGATTTAACTTGAGGTGATTGATTGTATATGGTTTGTAGTTTTTTGGAAGTATAGAACCAACCACAACAAGCTAGCACCAAAGTGCACTTCTTCATACACATTCAATCCTTATATAGTCATGTGAAATAATGTGAAAAGGCAATTGTGGGGCACATCAAAGAAGATAGTACTATTGTTATTATAACAAATTAGATCATGCCTTATCTTAGGGTGAAAGTAAATAATCCAAATCAATTGACACAAAAAGAGTAAACTAAGACCACGATAATACTGATGCACTCAATGTGACAACTCAGTTAGTAGATAAATTCTAAATTCAAATTCAATTTTTAAAATTCAAATTCAATATTTAAAATTCAAAGCATATAAAAGACACATGTGAGACAGTAAATTACAATATACATGTATAACTCACCAGGTTGCTGTCACCATTGAGTAATGTAGAGAAAAACATTTTGACAGACACTGTGAACACATTAATAACTGATACACATCAGCCACACTGCAGTCAGCTTTACAGCATTTAATCTGCGTATAGAGAACATTGCTAAAAACTGGTTAAACAGGTTTTGCATACTAGTTTATCCAGTTTGTACGAGTACAGAGTCTTGTGTGATGGATGAGATAGTAAGTGTCGAGATAAGTGACCGCGTCCATCACAAAATATAGAACTAAAATGTTACATAAAAGATGCTATCAATTACTTATTATTATTACCGACAATCTAGACAATGAACAAGGTTGCTATGAATGCCACACTCAGCACAACTGCCTCTACTTGACTGTCTGATCTCCCTACAGCTATTAAGAATGATGTAATACTACTAGTGCATCATGCATAAACTTACATAGAATATAGTCTCCTTAGTTTTGGTGGTATTTTAAGTTTTGGTCTTTCTGATGACCCAGCTTGATAAAAGTAAATAAATAAAAAAAGAGGAGGAGGTGAGAATTGCTACCTTTTTTAGTAACAGTGCAATGTTGCGTTAGGTGACCTGCTTTACCACACCTACCACTGGGAAATGAGAAATAAAATAGTGGGTCAAGACTCATGCTTAGTACAAGAGTTTGAGTTTTTGAGTATTTACCAGTTATAAGATGAGAGCTCAGAGCTTGCTTTGATTTCAGTTTTGGTCTACAGTACAGAAGCAAAATAATCATAAATTGTTAATAATTTTTTTTACTATTTTTGTGTTTTCAGTAGACTCAGAGTCACTGCTAGTGCTTGCTTCAAAGAACACTAATCTCTCTGGGTCTGAGTCACTATCAAAATGAGGCAAATTTGAGAGCTGGGGTTCCTGAATGGATGCAACACCAGACCCTTCATCATCGTCAGCATCCGAACTATTGTACATATCTTTAAAAATATCATCCTCTCTTTTGCATGAGACTAATTACCTTTAACAACTTGTGGTATTTCGAACTCTTCATTATTATCACTGTCACTGTAATCAGCTACCAGTGACAGAGGGTGAGAGGAAGCAGTAGGACAGAGAGAAGGAGGAGGAGGAATACTGACGTCTTTAAATGAGGTTTCTTTAGAGTCTAAATTTTTAGTAGATTTTCCTTTACGACCATGCCTCCTTCTCTTTCTTTTTCTATTAACTGATGATGGGTCATTGGCAACAGGTGGACGACTGCTTTCACCTCTTACTAAAGCAGCAAATGCCTTCTCTTTATCTATCATTCATTAATATCAATGACTGTACTGAAATACTTACTGTCTTCATTTGATGCTACATGTTTCAATGAATCAATATTACCAGCTGCCAAGTTGTAACTCTAAAAATCATGGCAAATTGAAATTATCTAGCACTACTAAATCTAATAATTAATATAAATTTTTTTTACTGTCTTACTCTTAGATTTTGTAGCAGGTGCTTTGATGTAAGATACTTCTCATCTAATTTTAATAAAAAATATAATTGAATGATCTATAGTATGGACTCACAGACTAATTTTGATTGCTTTGGAATGGGCAATCCAGCCATAGCTCTGACTCTGAGCCCCGCCCCTTTCCTTTCACCCTCCCACGCAAAGAAGGCCAGGCTAAAAGATTATGATCTTACTCTTCTTCTAAAAAGATGCCCATTCATCTTCGCCATCATGTTTTCGCTAAAGAGCGTCTCGTGGCGTTCAGTGATGCTGTTTTTGCCATAATAGCAACCATAATGGTAAAGAAATACTGTTAATTAGTCTAGCTTGGTAATTTGTTTTTATACTTCAAAAGGTCATTCCTCTAAAAATTCCTGAATTTGTAACAGATGGAGCGAATTTCAACTTAGAGGATTACATCATAAATAGTGACTTTGCTTTGCAGGTTGCTATATATTATCTTGCCTTTTATCTTGTGTGGGACGCATGGCTGTCGCACTGCAGGTAATTACAAATGTTTTAAATTATTCTAATCATAATTATTTTAAAAGGGTATTTCACATCCTTGAGCACGTTGATGACTTTGTCACTTTCTTGAATTTGGTATGTTTACTATTCATACTCTATAACTCCTTCCTCTTTCTCTTATTCTTCCCTCCCTGTAGGTAGCATTGCTTTTTATCAGTCTCCTCCCAGCTTCTGTAAGCTTATTATTATGCATATTTAAATTATTTTCCATTGTACCAGATCAGTTTGGTTAGCAGCTACCCTGAAGACAGTCTGGCCTTGACTATAGCATTTCTTAATATCCTGCTGATTAGCATTGCAATGGTACCACCATATATTTAGTAATTTTTATCTCTTCTATTTATTAGTTCTTTTTAGTATTCTTTGCTGTTCGGCAGACACAAATGCTTGATTCACTTATTGTTGAGGCCGTAAAAGTGGTATGTTGTTGAGTCATGTGACCTGTCATGTGATGTGACCTTTTACAGAGAACTCTGAAGTGGACATTGTATGCACCTCTTTTAATTAATCCTCTTATTGCTTTGCTGGCTATTATATTTGCCTGGGGAGTTACGGATCAACCTAAAATTGTATAAAAAGGAGAGCTATTTTAATTTTTTTTTAATCTCATTTCTATAGGGTATCATTACATTGTTCATGATTATTCCATTTAATTTCCTTGCAAGATTCATTTTGAAAAAAATTCAAGGTAACCAAATTAGCACTGAAGCTAGGAATTCAAATTTATAATAAATAATAATAATAATAATAATAATAATAATAATAATAATGTCATCATTACCTGTTGGGATTAAGTCTTCAATTATAGTGAGATATTTGAGGAAAAGAGTTATCTATTTAACAAATGAGGATGAGGGAATATTTTGTTTGATCAATAACTTTGTCTCGAAAGAAAGAACATTAGGTCAGTGATGTATGGTTCATGTGTATGGAGTATTGTGTTGTTGTGTTTAGCTTTAAGTGATGGAGTCTTTTCAATCATTGGAACACTGATAGTCCTGGATCTAACGTAAGAGAGAAGGAAGAGAGCAAAGGAGAGAGGAGAGAGAGAGAGAGAGAGAGAGAGAGGGAGAGAGAGAGAAAGTTAGAGAAAGTGAGAGATTAAATTTAATTTGATTACACATTATTTTTAACTTACAGAGCAGATATTTATAAAAAGGAAGGAAAAGCAACCGAAGCCACTGACTTCCTTAAGGAAGAACAGTATGCTTTCTATTCTTATTTTTCTAGTTTCATGATTGCTGGTGAGTTGATATAATAAGATTGACAGTTTTCATGATAAACATAATTTTGTTATTGTGAACAGGCTTATTGTGGTTTATTCATCACAGTATGTTCAGTGTAAGTGCCTTCTTAATAGCCTTTTGTTTTTACTATCTATTCTCTCTCCTTTCTTCTTTTTCCAGTTGATATCTGCAGTCAATAGTTATATTACAATCTTCAATGGTTTGGTTAGTAGTGATTTAATAATATAATTGTCATTATATGTCTCCTTTCTTTAAGAGTCTAATGTTTTTGGGTTTGATACCTTTTGGGGCAGGAGTAGCATCAAGCTTTATTGATGGAGTAAGTTCTCTCCATGCAGTTTATTCTTTTTTTTATAATCTCCTTCTCTTCCTTGCTTCAGACTAACACAAACAATGAGATCACATCAGTTAGGATTATGGTTGCCCTTATTATACTGGCTTCACTCTCACAACTTGCCCTTTGGTCTGTAGCTCATTGTGAGAAGTTAGTAATAACCTCATACTGTATGTACTTATGTGCATATTGCACTCATTCTAGATCAAAGTGTCTCTCTAATGAGGTTAATAGTCACATGATAGAGTTTATACAGTTATGGAAACTTCTCATCTTTCCTTTTACTGGGTGAGGGGTAGCTACTGTTATGAAATGAGCACACTTTCCTACTCGTGTGTATCTATGTTTTACAATCTTGCTCTATATGTAGGTTACTGGTATATTTAGTATCTTTTTCATCTGGTGTCACACTCAATCATTTCTATACATATGTAAGTTTTGTGCATCCAACAAACATTACAGAGCTAAGATCAAATGTATGCATTGTATCATTGTATTAGCAGATAAAAATAATTAGTTGTAACTGATAAATATTTTTATTGTTTAGTTTACATTTGCTGTGCCAGTTCTCTTTATTCTACCAAGGGCAATGGTACGAATCATTTTCAATTCTTTCTTATGACGCTTTCTTTCTTATTTCCTCCTCAATTCTTTCTTCAGCTGTTTCTTATGACTAGAATTAAATGTTTTACCACTAAAGCGAGTGAAGAAAGGCCTGTCTCAGCAGGTTGGTACAGCAATTTATATTAACCTCCATTATTATCTTCCTTTATAGTATCTGATCTCAGATATTCAAGGATTCAGATACAAAACGAACCAGCTGATACAACTGGTCTCATTTATAATCAACACGATAATAACTACCTCACAACGGATACATTCAAAAAATTACCAGGATCTACAACTTCTGTTGATGGGGGGACAATCACTGAAGAGGTTCAAATTGTTTAACATGCATCATGTGATTATGTACACATAAACTCTCTCTTTTTTCCCCTCCTTCTCTTCTACTTATATATACATGTAATAAAGACCAATTAAAGCATAGGTAAATAACAATTTCATTTATTTGTGTGTGTGATTTTTACAGCATGATTTAGCTTTTTTTGTTGCTGTCATTAAAGAACTGTTAAATTTAATCAAATTTTCAATTAATTCAATATATCAATAATAAATTATAATTATTAATATTTATGATCAAAAAAATGATTGATAGGTCTATTAGTATTTTAGAGTGATAGTTTTCTAGTCAGATATTGCTTAAGCACAGCTGGTAGTATAGATAGCAATGCAAGGAGTCCTAGCACTATAATTGAACTAAGTGAAATCTGATCTGCTATTGTAGTGAGTTGGAATAGAGTTGTCCCTGCTCGTATGAATAAAAAAGATGGAGGAGCTACACCTTTAAAAAAAAGAGAGAACGTATTGTCAGTAATTGCTCCAAAATTTGGCAAAACACCTTGTACTACATACTATACTTACAGGTTATTTATAATTTTTTTATGATGCATATATCATACATGCTCTTGTGTTTGATGAATTTTAAAGCTATGTTGTGTAGAAATTTTGAGCTGATTCCGATCAAAATTAGATTTTTAATGAATTCATAAATTTGCTTCATATACTTTTATAAGGCGCTGAAGCATGCTTTTTAGTTCACTTAACATGCTTCATGTGATCATAACATTTAGAGTATTGCTATATGCATGACTTACCAAGAAAAGTGCCTACAAAGAAATGTACAATGTTGACACCCAAGATTGGAGACGATATATTGATGAGCCAATTTGGTAGTATTGGAGTTATACGAAGGAATATTATATAATTTAACATGTTAGACCTGTGACTTCTGATCTACAAACACAACATTACTCAATACGCATTGCTACTGCTATTACTTTTAGTCTAAGAGAAGCTAATCTTTCAGGAAATAGCCTCTGTACTAGTCTATGGCCAAACATTCCTGATAGGAGGTAGCAAAGTGTGGCTCCAACAGCAGAACACTGAGAAATTATTCAACAAAATGATAATTGAACTAAATCATAATTATATTAATAAGGATTAACATACTGTGCAGACTAGTAGAATAGCAACAGGGAAGGAGAATAAATAACCAGATAATATACTAAGGAATATGCTACCAGGAATTGCAAATGTCTGTAAACTTTGTCATAGTCAAGGTATTAAACTAAATCAAAACCCATTAATCTACATTATTAAACTCTCAGAAAATGAAGTTATTAGAAATTATTGTATTTATGAACTTGCTGTAAAGTGACTAATTTAAGGATACAAGATGTATGTTACAACCAGTCCACCAAAAACAGTCCAGTAGTGTGAGTTGGTGTATTTTGATAGGACAAGTCCTAACTGCTTAGCATCTTCAATGTTACTAGGCAGATATAAGTGAGATGCATCTTTCCTATAGTAGAAAATGATAAAAATACACATAAATTATTATCACTGAGGAACATTCGATTTCATTTAATTTACTAATCATTGATAATTCTCGAACATAATTATTTAGCTTGTTTATTTAAAACACCTTGTTCACACCTTTGTTCACACCATGTAAACTTGTTCATGCTGCAGCAATAGGATTAGTAATTATTTATTACTTTTTGTTAATACTAATTTACAGACAGAATTAAGTATATGTATATATATGCATAAATATAATAATATCCAGAGATTTGACTGTACAGATTTCATATATTATCTTACTCGTTCATGTGAGGGAAATTGAAGAAGATTAATACCAAAAATAAGAGCGAGGACAAGAATATAATAACCAAATATAGTCCGGCTCTCCTAAAAGAGATGTCAGGTTCTTTTTGTTCGTCGACACTATTATCCGCCATCTTATAAACTTTATTTTAATAAACTAAGAATAATTATTATTAAAATTACTTACAGTAATGATACAAAAATAAAGGAAAAATAAATGCAAAATGAGTATAACAATGAACCAAACACAACCATTTTAATTATTATAGTGCATCAAAAAATGTCAATTGTCCATGGAGTCATCGTACAATGGATTATGAGCAGAAACCAGCATATGCCCTGGAGACAATGGAGGCGTGGCCACCACAGGGGGAGGAGAGATTGGAACAGGGAATGACGTGACAGGGGTAACCAGAGGAGCAGACGGGGTCGTATACGGAGGTGAAGTAGGAGTACAAGTCGTAGACCTCGGTGGGATTGGAGGTGGAGCATCATCGTCATCCTCAATGTCGAACTTGACTTTAACGCATCTCTTTGCTTTTATCGGGGTTTTAGTAATAGGGGGCAGTGGTGGGGGGCGTGGCTTGGCAGGTTTAGCAGTGGTAGGTCTTGTAGGAGCAGACTGGGCAGCTGGAATAGTTTGAGAGGAAGTAGATTGAGGCTTGGCCGGTATAGATTGGGTAGCTTGAAGAGGTGCAGCAGCTCTTGGCTGAGGAGTGAAAGATTGGCTTGGTTGTGGCTGGGTAGGCTTTGCAGGTTTTTTAATAGGAAAATCTTCATTTTCAGCGCCTTTCTGTTGAACGTTGCAGTTCTTGTCTCCTTTTTTCTTTTGATCTAGCTCAGAGACATTGTTGAGCTGTCTCGTTGGAAGATTGGAGAGTGGCGGAAGAGACGATGGAATGTTATTCAACTTCTGTTCAGGAAAATAATTAAGGATAGAGTGAATATTTTATCACTTACGTTGGAACCAAAAGAATTCTTTACTATTTTTGTGCTAACTCCATTAACTTCACTCATCCTTTTGCTATCATAAAAAAGGAACAGATAATAATGAGCAGCTAGCACATCAGTTTATCATAATTTTTGAGTTATGAACATTATGAGCCCATCGTTTTTTAATGGCTTCAAAATCACCCCCAATTTTATTAATTTTTTTGATACACATTGATGTACTTATGCTGTGTAGAAAGTTTGAGTTGATTCTGACTTCAATTTTTCAAGTTATGGGAATTTTAAGAAATCACCAAAATCCAAAAAATACCCAAGGCTATAGCCTATGGTTTAAAAAAAATGCCTCCAAAATCACCCCCAATTTTTATGACATTTTTTGATACATATTGATGTACTTATGCTGTGTAGAAAGTTTGAGTTGATTCCAACTTCAATTTTTCAAGCTACGGCCATTTTAAGAAAATGTCAAAATTTTGAAAAATACCCAAGGCTATAGCCCATGGTTTTTTCAAAAAAAATGCCTCCAAAATAACCCCCGATTTTTATAAAATTTTTTGATACACATTGATGTACTTATGCTGTGTAGAAAGTTTGAGCTGATTCCAACTTCAATTTTCCAAGTTACGGCCATTTTAAGAAAATGTCAAAATTTTGAAAAATACCCAAGGCTATAGCCCATGGTTTAAAAAAAAAATGCCTCCAAAATAAGCCCCAATTTTTATAAAAATTTTTGATACACATTGATGTACTTATGCTGTGTAGAAAGTTTGAGCTGATTCCGACTTTAATTTTTCAAGTTACGGCCATTTTAAGAAAATGTCAAAAAATTTTAAAAAATACCCAAGGCTATAGCCCATGGTTTTGTCCAAAAAATGGCTCCGAAATCACCCCCAATTTTTATGACATTTTTTGATACATATTGATGTACTTATGCTGTGTAGAAAGTTTGAGCTGATTCCGACTTCAATTTTCCAAGTTACGGCCATTTTAAGAAAATGTCAAAATTTTAAAAAATACCCAAGGCTATAGCCCATGGTTTTTCCAAAAAATGACTCCAAATCACCCCCCATTTTTATGAAATTTTTTGATACACATTGATGTACTTATGCTGTGTAGAAAGTTTGAGCTGTTTCCGACAAATATTTTTCGAGTTACAATCATTTTCTAAAAACAATTTCATACTATCTAGAAAGTTTGAGTTGTTTCTGACAAAATTTTTTTGCATTATGGCAATCTATAATAATGCATCATTATACAGCCAACTGAATGAAACACACACACACACAAACGCACAATACAATGTCATGAAAAGCATTGCACTCACTATTTGCAGTATAGTACTATTATTACTACAATAGTGATCACAACTGCAATGAAAAGTAGAATAATTAACAAAAGAATAACCAATTCTCCAGTAGTAAAACCACCAGAAGTATCGCCCCTAATAAAAAGAGCAAAATAAAGTGCAAGCAATGAGTTAATGTAGCTAACGATAGGCTGATCGTAGGCCCTTGATAAGTTGGAGTAGCTGAAGAGACTGGGCTAGAGCTGTGAATAGAAGTCATGGTTGATGAAGGAACAGCACTACTGGATGTTGCATCAGGTATAAAATGTACTACAATGGAAAAATTCAACATTATAACCAAGAAAGAGAAATATATTTCTCTCTTTCTGTTAGCAGTACATCACTGCATTAAAGATGAATATGTATTAGTATTGAGTATTAACTTACTTTCTTCAGTGCATGCAGTGCCATTGAGCGAATCAGGACAGACACATTGATAATATCTTGATGATAATGATAGACACATGTGATCACAATCACTACCAGTACAAGAACTATGACCTACAAACATTAGCCCACAATTAAATGCATTATTTGGACATTAATAGAAATATATAAATGCATGCAACTATGCATGTCATGTGTGTATTTTGTTTTATTTTTTTCAATAATTACAATGGAATTATTGAGTCTTTACTTTGTACATAAGAAGAATTGACAATGTGGAGGTTGATAGCATTTCCAGACCCTCTATTAGTATACACTGTGATACTCCTCCCAGTCTTAACATCAGTCTGCAGTACCTGCCCATCATTAATGGTAAACAGCAGATTATTATGAACTGCAATATCAGTGGAGCCATGATCCAGTACTGTCACTGGATGTACATCTGGATCAATCAGTGAGAGCATTTGAATGGTCTCAGTGTCGATCCAATAGAGGCCCTGATTACTGAGGTGTAGTTTCACTGGATGATAGCTCTCATTGCTGAATAAAGTGGAGACCATTGAGCCATTAACATCAGATTGCATGATATAGTTTAGGCCAGTATCATCACTAGCAACCCAATACAACTTCCTAGTATATTTAAAAATAAAATACAAATCATCTATGAGCTAATGGTAATAATATTTACAACAATAACTTTTTTACATTTACATTGTACATGTACATGTATATGTACATACCTTCTCATAGAATCAACAGTAATGCTTGATATGACATAATCCCCTTCACTGCTCACCAGCACCTTATGATGCTTTATATTGGATACTTCAATATTATTATTATTAATATAATACAGGTTCCCGGTACTCTTATCCAAGCTTATATCTCCCCCATCTCCTCTTCTGTTGTAAATCCTAACATTAGTTCCATTAGCATCAGACATGTACACTACTCCATTGGTGGATTCACTCCAGTAGAGTCTACTGTTATAATGAGCAATGTCATGAATACGATGAGTCTTGTTTTCCATTAGACTGACATCCACAAAGTCGTTAGTGTCCAGTGAAATACGTCTGATTGTTGAGGTAGTTGATAACAGTAAGTACACTGAAGGGACTGTGTGTGTGCATAATAAAAAAAATTTTTAATTTAGTAGTATATTGTATGTAGCAGGTACTAAGTAGTTGCATCCTGTTCTTAATTTCTTATATCAAACACTACTTAGATATTACGTGAACATTGATTACCAACAGATAAAGCATAACTATAGTTTCACACAGAAGTACATGTACACCGTATGTAGTACAGCTACAGTGTACAGTGTAGATGCTGTATTTGTAGCAGTGACTCACCATTAGGGCAGTATGATCCAACAGGTACAATACCAGTGGGGCACGCACACTGATAACCTCCTGACTTAGGCAAACAAATGTTTTCACATTTCTTCTCTGCACAGTGGTGATCATAAGCACCTAAAAATTTAGAAAAAATTCAACTAAAAATTTCTCATTGGAAAGTATAAGGATTAATAACAAGAAATAGATAAATAATAAAATAATAATAATAATAATAATAATAATTACCTCTGCGATCGTAGGCACTCTTTCTCTTGATAGCCATGCTGTTAAAGCCCTCAATATTACGTGCAACGGTGAAAGAGACAAAATTATTAACTGTCGCATGCTTATCCACTCTATACAATACACCAGAATCTCTATTCATCCAGTACAAATAGTCATCATCCACAACAATAGACTTTGGATCGGTGACCATCCTGCCAAGCTCTCTCTTATGACTGCCATCAAGATTAAAAGAGTATATTCTATCCGCTATAACGTCAGCCACATAAAGTTTGCTATCATCGTCTATAGCTATGGACGACGGTTGAGTGACATCGGTCGAACGGATGATGGGTGTTGGAGCCGTACCATCCATATTGGCACGATAGACATTCTCAAGTGAAGCCATGGGCATTGCCCAGAACATGTACTGGTGCTTCATATCAAGAACTATAGACGAGACTTCACTCACTATAGATCCACTCAGTAATACTTTTCTCTGGAGCCCGTCTAACGTGGACACTTCGATCCTTCTTGTATTAGCTTCTGCCCAGTAGAGCATGCGACCAATCCAATCAATGGCGAGGGCTGTTGGACGCTCGCTAATGGAGGAAATGATGACTTTGATGACACCACCGCTGTTCTTGTAAATGTTGCTCCCGTCGACCCAGTAAGTATCGTTAGTTTGTATATCAACTGCTATTGAGTGAGGGTTGATGGGTTGGTATGATGGAGTGGGTGTGGTCACGTACACGCCGGATTGAGTATCCAATGAGATTCGTCCGAGGCTTCCTTCACTTGCTATAACAATGTAATCGTCTATAGCTATTAAAATAATAATAATAATAAATATATATTTTTCTATTGCTTACATTCTGCACAGTTCTTTTTATCTTGTTGTAACAGGTAACCAGTTGGACATAAACAAGAAGCAATGAGATCCTCACCAGCTGAACTGATCCCCACACACATGTGACTGCAACCACCATTAGCAATCAAACAAGGATGGGTATCTTTAGAGAGAGAGAGAGAGAGAGAGAGAGGGAGGGAGGCAGAGAGAGAAAGAGAAAGAGAGAGAGAGAGAGAGAGAGAGAGAGAGAGAGAGTGAGTGAGTGAGAGAAAGAGAGGAGAAAAAGAAAAAGAGAGAGGAGGGGAAAGGAAAAGTATGAGAGAGGTGAGGGAGGAGGAGACAAATACAAATAAAAGTTAACTATTAGAATCAAATTACCAGGTATTCTCCTGTTATTATGATAAATGGAGATGCTTCTCAGTTGCTCTTTGTTGGCAAGGAACACTCCATGAGTGTATGGAGGCTCCTTCTCTACCCATCTTATAGCATCTCCAATCTTTTCCGTCCAATACAACTTATTACCATAATGGTCCAGCCCACTTGTGGATGAGAGGAGTCCAAAGTTGTCATATAAAATCTCATGATCGCTAATAAAATGAAAATAGAGGTGATTATCTTGGTTAAAGAGGTTGCAATTTTGTCAATTTTGTTGATTTCCTTATGCTATAGAAAATTTGAGCTGCTTTTGACAAATATTTTTCGAGTAAAGAGCATTTAAAAATGAACCAATTTTTAAAAAGCAAAGGCTACAACCCATGGTTTTTCCATGAATACATGTATAACTTTATTAATGTCAGCAACGATAAAACATGTTGCTGGCTGATTTTTGCTTGAATTACATTCTTGGTGAGCACTAGCATTTGCTTTTAAAATTAAAATTTACCTTTTATTTAAAAGAATTGATTCAAGTCTTAAGTTCTTAGAGTCCACCCAGTAGACCCGGTCGCCATCAACTGTCAGTGAGTCTGGTGAACCGTATATCTGGTCTGGGGTCACTCCTGACTCGTACAGTATATCATTATCACTTCCATCCAAGTTAGCTCTCATTATGAATAAACGTTTGCCATTTTTGACTCCATAAATCAAATATCTATCAAATAGTAATAATAATAATAATAATAATAATCACTCTTTCTCTATAAGTATATCATAATATTTTCTTTCTAACTTTAATTCTACCTAACCTACTTGTGTCATTTAAAATTCTATTTATTTATTTATTTATTTATAATAATAATAATAATAAAATTAATGATAGATTAAAGCTTCTCCACATACATGTACGTGCATGTATTGCAAATAGAATTTATAATAGGCAGCTTTGTGGTTATACATAATCTACAAGGAGCTTTGTTGGTTAAAATATAATAGTCTATTATTTTCCTAACAAAAGTTTCATGTGCATTTTAACAAAGTTGCATAGTGTATGGAAATATAGAGTTTACCCTTTCAAGGGTTGCACAACAATGTCTGTCAGGGTCCCTTCATCTAATGTAATCACGGCAGTTTTTAGGCTACCATCCAACTCTGACACATATATGTGCGATAGGATCCCATCAGTCCAGTATATTTTCTTTGAGCACCAATCAATGGCTATCCCAACTGGTAGGGATACGTCCTTATCCACCAGTACAGTAGGGGTACCACCCTATAATGAATGAATGAATGGATGAATAATTATTAGTAGAACATGAAATGCATGTACGTAGTAAACAGAATCACAAAAAGACAATTATTGGATATTGTGTACTAATACTGTGGGCTCTGATTTAAGCTCTGATGTCATTCATTCACATGCTAAGTGATGCTTCTTAATGTTGAGCCCCCCAACTTTTGAATCATTCCTACGCCTATGCAAGTCATAGTAAGTCAGTCTTTAACCAAAGGCTGGACCCAACAGCTTCAAACTTAATAATAATGATACACACAATATTGCATATACTACAGATTAGAAGCACTTCCAGTACAAATTAGATCTACAAGGGCCTGTCAAATCATGTTAAATCTACCAGCAACAAGTACTACTCTGGGTATTTTCTCACAGATGTATGGTTCACATAGAGTATAGTAATAAACAATACATCAAATAGGCAGGGGATACTCTGCTGTTATCTCACCGATAATGATAGCGAATTGATTGTTCCTAGAGAAGAGTCAGCATAATAGACAGTGTTATTGTCCCAATCAGTTGATATGATGTTCGATTTGGAGCCATCATCATCATCATCACCATCATAGTATATTGGTATCTGGAGATCATAGCGATCCTCTGTTTCCAAAGAGACAGTGTGTAGCTCCTCATTTACAGAGAACAGTATAAACAACTGAGGCCCTAAAACAAACAAAATAAATAAATAAGTAAATAAATAAATAATTTATTTCTTACTTGAACATGAAATCCCATCATCTTCAACACTAGACGATGGAGGACAGTAACAAGAGCCAGTCTCATTATTGCTACCAACAATACAGAGGTGTTGGCACCTCTTGATGCTGCATTGGTTAGGGCTGCCATCTTGGACTCCTCTTGGTTGTCTCAATGGGTGGACCAATGCGAGGTCAGTCGGCATGTATATCGATTGTAGGACGGTCTCAAACTGTTTTCCGGTTCCTTTGTTGGCAGAGTAAATGGTACCATCACTTCTCTCAGTCCAATAAACCTAACAATAATAAATATATGTCATATTGATGTACTAATCTTTAATATGTAAGAACAAGTACCATAAATTAACCCAAACACCAAAAATACTAACAATATATACTGTAAATATATGTATACATGTGAATGATTGTGTATACTGTTTCCTTTCTCTCTTACTTTATTTTCAAATACAGTTAGTCCGGATGGGTTGCTTATATTAGCACTATACAGTGTATCCCTCCCACTCCCATCAGTGTGGCATTTACCAATAGTCTTACTGGCCACATCGATCCAATACAGTGTCCCTGTTGGGTAGTCTATGGTTAGTTTAACTGGCCAGTACACATGATCCGTGGCAGATAAGAACAGAGCTTTGTCTGTCCCGTCTAGAGAAGCCTTAAAAATTTGCTGTCTGTCTATCCAAAACATTAACCTAAGCAAGAGGAGAACAAAATAGAACTGATAAACAAACACACACACACACACGACACTGAAAGATTCTGTTTCAGACCCATTGCAAAAATTCTCAAACCCCTCACCCCGGCCCCATACCAAGTATTGCTAACCTGTTCAGTGGGTCTATTACTATGTCTCTTGGTGAATGCAAGCCAGAGAATATTATAGCTCTCTTTTCTCCATTAAGATTTGATACTTCAATTCTCTTTAAGACGCTATCGGTCCAATAGACTAGGCCATGTATCCAATCAATTGCTAAACTCTCTATAATATAATAATAATAGTTATTATTATTATTATTATTATTATTACATTTTTATATTTACCTGGTCTAGATATTCCATAATTAACAATTTCTCTAATATCGCTTCCATTCAAATGAGCTCTCATTATGACCTTCCTCACAATATCAGTCCAATATACATACTCATATCTACATAAGAGGGCCACATACAGTGCTATATACTGTGAGTGATTGAGACTCTTAACATACTTGTAATGATAGTCAAGACTGGCTGCATTTCTTAACTCTTGTACCAATATGTCAGAATAGCTTCCAGAGACTGTGTCATTAACCTTTTGAATATCAAACCAGTTAGTGAATAATAGATAGGGAGGAGGGCCTATAGAGAAATGAGAGAGAGAGAGAGTTGTTTACAATATTCTACTCCACATCAATACGTCCTCATTGGTTACCATTAGCAGTGCAGCCATATACTTCAGAGTGTGTATAACCAACATCACAGGAACAATAAAAGCTCCCAAGAGTATTAGTGCAATAGTGTGTACATATATGAGGATTCTCTTGGCACTCATTGATATCTGATTTAAAAGATAGTGTTTATTAAATTAGCGGTTACTCTCTCTCACCCTCTATTTCGCTCTCTCACCCTCTCTCTCTTTCTCTCGCCCTCTCTCTCTTTCTCTCGCCCTCCCTCTCTTTCTCTCTCTCCCCTCTCTCTCTCACCATCTCTCACTCTTTCTCCCTCCCTCCCTCTCTCTTACCATAACATGTTGACATGTCCGTACTGTTAAGAGCATAACCATCACGACAAGAGCAGTACCTGTAATGCACAGTATCATGACAGAAATGATCACAGCCTCCATTATCAGTTGAATTGCACTCATTGGTATTTGTAGAAACTCCAGCTAAAAGAAACAGGTAATAATAATAATATCATATAATGTTATTATTATTATTATTATTATTATATTAAGTTGTTTGATAACTTCTTACGACATTCATTTTCATCGGATCCATCGGCACACTGCTCAATATCATCACAGAGAGAGAAGTCGGGGATACACTGCAGCCCATCAAGGCAAGGGAACTCATTAGTATCACATGTAACTCTCTCTTTCTTGGTATTAGCTACAAACCACAATTACATTAAAAAATATAATGGCTTCTCTCTTCCCTTTTCTCCCTCTCTCTCTCTTCCCCCTCCTCTCTCTCTCTCTCTCTCTTCCCCTACTCTCTCTCTCTCCCCCCTCTCTCTCCCTCCCTCTCTCTCTCTTCCCCCTACTCTCTCTCTCTCCTTTCTTTCTCTTCACTTACGACATAAGAATTCATCAGATCCATCTGCACAGTCCACATTCCCATTACACGTTTCATTTAATCTAATGCAGGATCCACTTATACACATGAACTGATCTGGGCCACATCTCGAGTCTACACAGAGTCACAAATACATGTAAGTAGAAGTAGAAATCGTGCATGCATGATACATGTACAATAATGTGTTATTTATAATGGATAATGCATAACTTACTACAGTTCATTTCATCACGATTATCGATGCAATCGTACACTCCATCACAAACATGAGTACGCTCCAAACACTGCTCAGGACATGTGAAGAACTTGTCTTTACAATTTAATACATCTAAAACAAACAGAAATTATAGGAGTGACTGTTAAACTTTTTTAAAAGTTGCTTCTTCAAAATTGCAAAAAGTAATAGTAACAAAAGTGAGTGTGGGTCATAAAACACTCACAGCAAATAGTTTCATCCTCATCATCTCCATCAGGGCAGTCATTAAACCCATCACACAAGCCATTACCATCAATACACCTACCGGAGCTACAGTTGAACATACCAATACCACAAAGGTTTGAATATGTGCCTAATAAAAATAAAGTAATTTTGAGAGAGAGAGAGGGGGGGAAGGGGAGGAGGAAGAAGCGAAATTAAAAGATGGAGGGAGGAAGAAGGGAAGACTAACCATCACAGTTGGCTTCATCAGCTCCACCTGAACAATCAATTTCTCTGTCACACAGCCAGTTACGTGATAAACATTGACCTGTCTTGGGGCACTGCCACTGTGTCTCACTATCACACGAACCACCTACACAATTAATTATACAAAAGATAATTATTATGCATGTAATACTTATATATAATATATAAGTATTCCTTTGGTGTTTACGATGCACTAAAAATAATATATTTTAATAGTACTAATTACAGTAATTGATACATGCATACATTGTATGGTTTTACTAATAAGGTAAGGACTACTAGAGGGCTTGTTAGTGAGACACAAACATCATGAAGAGCCTACCCAGTACACCAACAGTATGGTATAGTACATTACTGCTTATTGCTAGTATTAGTATTATAGTCAATATATGGCATAAAATGATTAACACTGACCACACAATTCTTCATCACTATTATCACCGCAGTCATTTCTACCATCACATCTCATTACTGCTGATATACACTTCCCAGTATTGCTGCACTGATAATCACAGCCTAATAAAAAAAGTAAACGGCATTAATAGAATTTTGTATTATTCTTATTCAATGATACCTTTGTTGCAGTTTTGTTCATCAGAGCCATCACTGCAGTGAGATATACCATCGCATTGAAATGCTAAATTAATGCATTTATTATCAACAGAGCACATCATCTCGTGTGATCCACACATTAGTCCACTTCCTGTGAAATATCAAAGCAAAATAATATAACATCATCATCTTATGAATATCAGCATCAATAATAATAAAGCAATGGATTTAACATGAAAAATGTAATGGGGACTCACAAAATTGAGCATGAGCTTAAAATTACATATAAATGCAATATACTAAAGTTTGGTGTCCATGTTTTTATTTTAAAGGCTGGGATGGATAATAATAATAATACTATATAGTAGTTTTTAATAATGAAAGCATGCAATCAAAACAGGTTAGTAACACCTGCGAGAATCACGTACAAGACAGTAATGTACAAGCTACAAGCTACCGTCAAGAAAGCGAGGAGAGTTAAAATGGATGCCCTATCTTACCACAGTCACTCTCGTCGGATCCGCTAGGACAATCGTTGTAGCCATCGCAGACATAATCCTTGGGTATCGGCCTCAGATCGGTAGGGCAGTAAAAATACTCCAATCCTAATTATAAATAATAACATGGATTATAGAACGTCTTCTTACCATTAGCTGTGCAAAGCCATGAAAGCAAGCAAAGGAGAGAAAGGACAAGAACACGAGACATGCTGGTTTCTTCTTGCTTGCCCGCAAGAGAACTGATTAATTTATTCATGTAATAAAGTTTTATAGGTTCATTACTAGTTAATAAAAAGTTATTAAAATCTATATACTATTATAATACTGTTAACAATAAAATCTCCAGAGTCCCAGACCAGCTGAAGGAGTGATTAGGTAGCAAAATAATGTCTCTTGAGTTAAAATCATACAGACGTTACGTCGTCATCATTTTCCAGAGGCTGGACTTCAGCCTCAAACTGGACGGCACTTCCGCAAACATTCAATAAACATTGTCCCTATAATAATAATAATAATAATACAAATAATGGAAATAATAACATAAATAATAGTAATAAAAATTACTTGATTTTTATGCGGGTTTTCTATAATCACACATTGCCTTATTTGGTAGTTCATTAATGCCTGACCGCCAGATGCAATGACTTGTGCTGATGCTAAATTATGCGCTTCACATATAAACGACTCAAGAAATGATCCCATGCCTCCATGCTGTATAAAACAAAGCAGTTAAATAATTATTACACGCATGGAACAGGCTGCACCTCTTTCATTGATGTTGTTTCTCTTATTAAAAACAAGTTGATGGTTCCAAGATGCTTAGGGCACTGGTAGCCTTTAATACTGTTTTGAGGACTTAGAATGAACACGTCCTACATAGTATAAAGCAATGACACAGTTGTCTCATTCATTTAATATTACTTTGGTTGACTTCTTATGACAATCTGTTCCATTATTAGCTTTCGACACATAGCAAATTAATGTAATCTAACAAGCAATGATGATAATGCTAACTTTAATTTTTATCGTCATACATGCATGTACCTGAATCTCATCATCCTCAGGAAGATCAACTTCAAATGAGACATTACTGATAATACAAGGATGCATCTGTCTCACTCTAAATAACAAACTCTGAGAGAGAAAGAGAAAATACGACAATGCAGTAAGGTTGCAGATACTAACCTGTAACAATCTACTAAATATAGTGCTGCACTGTTGATCTTGTGACTGTCCTTTTCCATCAAGGAAGTTTCTTGAAACTATTGTAATGAATTCACTGTTCTCCACTGAGCTTGTATAGCCAGGCACAGATGACAATGTGCTCATTACAAAGCCTAAAAGCAAAACATGCAAGCACCATACCATTAGGATGATGAACCTGATGGGATGAAGCAATCTGAAAATATTTCATGTAAATCTTCTTCCTTCAGTAGGGCCTCATCAATCTATCAATAGCTAGCATTAGTTTTTTATACGTTTTCATAATACTTCAACTGATGTATTGGTTGGATCCCTCATACTATCATCATTCAATTCAGTAGGAGATGAAGATGATACTGACAAAGCTGCCTGATCAACCTAACTTAATTGTAACACAGCATTAAAATAAAATGATCACTAACGACTGATTTCTCAAGATTATATTTCTTTCTATTCTCTTCCTGTAGTTTAGATAACCTCATCATTACATCATTAGAAGGTCCAGTAGCTTCCTGCTTTATTATAATATTAACACATCAATTCAGTACTCATCAGTACTTGTGATTGAAGCACAAAGTTAGTTGGTGAAGGTAATGGTTCAAGATATGCTCCAGTACCAGTCTATAGTGCAATAGAACTCAGTTATCATTGAGCTTATTAGTCACATACTGCTACTCCTATGATTGATGTGTCACCAATAATGACTGATAGCTTTAATCCAAATATGCTGTTCATTCCTTTGAGCTTTAGTTTGACTAGCAATCGACTGTGGAGACTGTACTCAAAAAACGGGAGCATCTATCAATACACATACATGCTAGCATAAAAATAACTTCAGTTTAATAAATTACATACAGAGCTGACATTGGAGGCATTTTCCTCTCCTTTACCGCGTCTTTTAGGCATGCAGACACGAGCTTGAAGAATACTGCACTCTCCTCTGACAAGATGTCCTACATTTGATGGTATTTCAGTAGTAGAGAGCAAGACTGATGGCACAACTTTTGACCTACAATAAAAGTGAAATAATTATAGTCAAGGAGAATCATACCTGCATAAACTGCAAGGAGTCAATTGTATCTTGAATGGACACTTGCTTGCAGCATAAGGAACATGGCAACCTCTGCACTGTGCAGGCTCATCTCTGTGAAATAAAAAAAAGAAATAAAAAATTTAACGTGGGTGGTTGATGTATATGGGCGTGGTTAAGTCTAGTACGTGGGTGTTGGGTAAAAATGGCTCGTTTGGTTTTTCTTGCTGCGTTGGCTGTTCTTCTACCAGTAGCTGTCTTTGGAGCGCAATGTGCACAAAGCGAAGAGTCTATGTGCGTCTTTACATGCAACGGAACAATGTTCAACCTGACAGACGTTTTCAAATACCCGTAAGTCTAGAAATCATAGCCAGAAACATTGTGAAAGCCGTTTTGTAAATACAGAGTGACAATAGCTGATGACTCGAGGGGCTACAATTATGAATGGAACCCCTGTGAGTATCAAGCATGTAAGGATGAAATTGAGCCAGGAGAAGACTGTGCTGTAAGTTAAGTATGATGATAAAATTAAACTAAAACTTAGATCTATGAAATATTTTGCATGTAGATTTGTCAGAAAGCTGATCGCTATTACAATTGTGGTCACATACAACAAGCAGTATTCCTCATGCAGCAGTATACTCCTTTTATGTGGAAGATACAGTATCTCTGGGGAACAGACTGGCGGTTAGCACCAGCGCTTCATTCACAATTACATTTACTGTATTAACACACAATAGAATGACAGAGTTTACATTCCTTGTTGATAAAAACCGAGACATTCCAACTGTTACTTTCACCGGTGAAGACCCATATCTACAATACGTAAGATAAACTGCTTTACATTAATATATAGAAACTTCTTTTTCAAACATAGAACTTTTTTGTAACTGGAAAATGTATTGGACAGCCGTATTGCAACTATGGTATGCCTGACCCATTTAAAACAGCTTCTGGAAAAGGACTTAAACCAAGTCCAACACCTGATCTCTAAAACTATAAAAAGACAAAAGACTGAGCTGAAATATTGTTTTGTAATTAATTAATTGCTATTGCAGAATCTGTGAAGGTGTGGCTGCTCAAATGGGTGTGGTCAATGCAAACATGATGACCTTTGCAGCTCTATTCCTGCTAGCAATCTCTATTTGTCTTTCCAGTGCAGAGCAATGCCTTCCAAAGACAGGCAACCCTTGCAAATTTGATTGCAATGGAACTGAATTTGACATTTCACATGTCTTTGACTACCCGTAAGTGTAGAAGTTGCTCCCCACAGGCAGCATAAAATTATGTTTGCTTCCTTTATACATATAGATATAACATAGACAATAACTTTATGTGGTGTCCTTGTAAAGGTTGCATTTGTGAATATAGCAAAGGACCAAAAGCAGCTGTTAGTTACTGCCTCACTATGTTAATACTGTACTCTCTGTGCTGCATTCTCTAGGTCTGTCAGTCAGGAAGCAACGCTGGTCAACTTCAAGATCCAGTCTTTATATTGGAAAGAACAGATCCATACCTCTTCACTATTGAATATACATCAGGACTATCTTATAGGTAATTCAGTGCTAATAATATTACAGCTACTATATGAGCTCTCTCTCTCTCTCCTTCAGAATATCCATTTTCACATTCATTGTGAGTGAAGACTATCCAAAGCCAAACATAGTCTTTGCAGGAGGAAGCAATCCCATATTGCAATATGTGAGCAGCTAACTTTAATATCCTAGTTAATTATTATTATTTTATTAGAATTTTCAAGTGACAGGGAAATGCCTAGGGCAGCCAGACTGCAAAACTAAAGGACCCAATCCATTCCACTAGCCACACTAAAATTTTTTTTGCTATTTCCAATTTCCACACTTTTTCTTTTTATTTTCTGTACTAAATGCAAGGATGATGCTGGTAAAAATGTGAAAATTCATGTGAATTAATTAATAATTGTGCAGAATGTGAAGGTGTGGCTGCTCAAATGGGTGTGGTCCAAGGAAAAAACATGACCCTTGCAGTAGTTGCTCTATTCTTGCTGGCAAACCTGCTCTGTCTTTCCAGTGCAGAGCAATGCCACCCTAAAGCAACCAACCCTTGCAGGTTTGATTGCAATGGAACTGAATTTGACATTTCTCAAATCTTTGACTACCCGTAAGTACAAAATAAAAAAAAAACTATGGTTGCTGCCTTTAATGTATAATCAGGGTTTCCCACAAAGCATGCTAAGTGAGCTAAACAGCAATAGTACATGGCTTTTGGAGCAACTTAAAAATTTTTTATATAAAATTTAAATTTGATCGAAATCAAGCTCAAAGTTGAAACACAACATAAGAGCATGTATATATATATAATATATGTATCAGGAAAAAATATAAAATGGAGAATTCTATCCTGGTAATTTTTGTCAAAAGACTTCGTGCTATAGTGCAGTCTTTTGGCCTATTTTTGAGCAAATTGACAATCCACTGACAAGAAGCTGCATGAGCATTATACCACTAAATTTTCTGTGGGAAACCCCGTGTCTAATAAAGAGGCAACTAGCATAATACTATGTCCCATTGCATTGCATAGATACACCATTGATGAGGAGTATAAATGGTGTCCTTGCAAAGGCTGCATTTGTTCAGAAAACGGTGGAGGAGTGGGACCACTAGCAGCTGTTAGTTACAGTCTCACTAATACTACACTATGTGTCGCACACTCTAGGTCTGCCAGTCAAGAGACTATGCAGTTAGCTGTGGTCAATTTCACAATCCGGTCTTCATATTGGAGAGAACAGATCCATACATGTTCACCATTGAGTATACATCAGGGACAACATGGAGGTATTGCTACAGCTACTAGAATCATTTACTAGTCTTCTCCCTCAGGATATCAATGTTCAGATTCATGGTCACTGAAGAGCATCCAAAGCCAAATGTAATCTTCACAGGAGAAGTGCCCAATTTGCAATATGTGAGCTTCTAGCATTGTTAATATCCTATCACTTCATTAATTTACAGAATTTTCAAGTTAATGGAAAATGCTTGGGGCAGCCAGACTGCAAAGCTAAAGGACCCAATCCATTCCACTAGACAATTATAAACTTTTTGCTGGTTTTGTATACTTTCCGTTTATTTTCTGTAAACTACAAAAGCGAGGGTGTGGCTGATAAAAATGATGTTGCAGCTAGTTTTGGCTCTTCTCTTCCTACTAGACCTCTCTGTTGCTGAACAGTGCAAAGTAGACTTGAAAACCTCTTGCATAGCAACATGCAGCAACGACACTACAATAGATATAAGCAGTCTATTTGAATATCCGTAAGTTCAACATTACCATAACTGATGATAACTCAAAATTATTTTCACACTACTTTGTTGCGTAGCCTCAATATTAGTAGCTATTATTCATATTTGTGGAGTCCGTGCAGCCCCATTACTTGCAGGCAAGGTGATCCATACAACATTGCTGTAAGTAATTTAAAGGCTACATCTACAATAGATCAAATATCTACTTGATCATTAGGTGTGTCAAAAAGCTGATCAGTATTATAACTGTGGTGAATACAGAGACCCAGTGTATATATTGCAGCAAAGAGATCCATTCATGTTTCGCATTGAATATCCAAATGGAGATGACTGGAGGTGAGTCACTATATCACTATTACTATTACTATTCTACGTATTCATGAACCTAATATTGTATTGTAAAATTTCATATTACATGCCTCGATATTGGGGTGTTTATATTCTTTTGTGTAGGATATCAATATTCACTTTTACTGTCACTGAAGAAGAGCCTCAAACAAAAATAACATTTCTAACGGAAGACCCAGGACTCCAATATGTAAGTGATCATATATAGATATATATCTACAATTAATCTTTTTGTTCGTAGAATTTTCAAGTGACTGGTAAATGTATTGGACAGCCTCGTTGCAAATAATAATACTGACTATTGATGAACTTACTATTGATAAACTTACTATTGATAAACTATTGCGTGTGTTTGTGTTTGATTTGTGCAACTTACCCTCCTGTGTTTGTATCATCTAACTCCTCTCCTCCACTTTTGCTTAAATCTATTAATAAAATAATTTAAATTCAAAATTATACAAAACTATGATATGCATCACCTTTTAACTTAGTATCTACTAATGAGGTGACAACTGCAGCAGTACCTGTGCCTGACAGTATGCACAAATCATCACTAAAAATGAAAAATAAAATAAAAAGCTCAATTTCTACCAACATCCCTTATACCATATACTAGTGGTTTCAGTATAGCCTAACACTGCATTACACGACATTGATCTGCAGTGAGATCTTATCTCGGTTCTGATCTCATTCCACCACAGATCTCTTGTCTCAGGCTCGTTGATATCGTCAAGTAGTTTGACTGATCTGGCACACACTATACCAGACAAACCGGTTACGAAACCAGCTGGAAAGACACTTAAAGTATAGAATGGGAACTATAAAGAAAAGAAGGAAAATAAAGAAGAGGAACGGATATAATATGCACTCACAGATAATTGAGTCATAAAATGGCCGCCCCCACTACCAGTTGATGTACCAAGCAACAGAGTATTATCAAACACTATTAATATAAATAAAATAATGATAATAGTAATAATAATGATGACCATTAGTATCATAGTAACCTCCTCTGTTTGGAGATGAAGGTGCTCCATCAGATTCTGATGACGACACACGAGCAATGTGTTGCGTTCTTACAGGATTAGCCGATTCCGGAGACACGCCCACTACACCAGCTCCAGCCCCTCCCCCTCCTCCCTGTAACTCAACACTGGTATCAAACTCGTCTATTAACCTGATAAAATAATGGCCTCACTATAATACAACATCCTCCTTACAAATAGGTCAAAATTATTATTGTATAGCATGAAAATTTTATGAAACATACTTGTGCACATACATGTACTCCAAAAATTTAAACAATTGCAGATTTTTTTGTCATTTTGAAGCAACACATGCATAATGTTAATGAACTAAAACTATATACATGGAACTACCTATCAGTTGGGAACTGTAAGCTCTCGCTGTGCTGAAAAGGCGAAGTAGGGAAAGAGTGATGAGAGGCTGACGTCACACTGACACAAGTGCCAATGCCTCTAACAACTATACCAGATTCACCTTCTAAGTCAAACGATTGAGTATAGCTACAAAAGAATAAATAATTATTAATTGTGTAAATGTATAAACTTTATTTGCTAACCCAATGATGGCATTGCCTTCCATGTCTAATGCCTTCCTGCCAATCTTCCTCTGTAGCTCACCTAAAAAACAAAATATTTGTGAAATAAACTGTTCCCTCCACAGCTATAATACATGTATATGTCCACCTGATAATTTTAAGAATGTTCTTTGTCTTGATTCGTTTGAAGCACGAGGTGGTCGTATTTTATCAATCCACTAGATCACAAGAGAGTCACGTGATATTGAAGTCACATGATGACATACCTGATGCTCTGGATCAACGTTAAATAATAATTCCTCAACAAAACCGTGAACTGAGACAATGTCATAATCTTCTGGTATTGATTGACCTATCATGAATTATTATTTATTATGCCATTATTTATTTATTGTCATTCCTATACCTGAAAATAGTAAGACTTCGCTTGAGGAGCGTTTATTCTTGTGTTCATCTTTAATTAGTTCAACTGACACTTTAATGTGTATCTCACCTCGTATCCCTAAACACATAAACACATGATCATTTTAACTGAATGAACAAGAAACAGTAAAATCATACAAAATCTAGAATTAGCTCAAACTTTCTCCACAACAAAGTATATGTATATTATGTATCAGAAAAAAAATTATAAAATAAATAATTCTCTCCTAGTCATTTTTGGCAAAATTTGGCTGATGAGTGATGACCCTGTACTATAGTATAGTCGGTTCAAGTTGAGTTGCCCAAGTACCACCCCTTATAACTTTTTAATCACTAATGCTAGCAACCTGAAATTTAGTATACTTGCAAAACGGGTTCTTCCGAAAATCTGTACCAATTTTTGAGTCTCTAGGTACTCTGGAAGGTTCTGAATGGGTTCTTCCGCTCTAGTTCAAAGGGAGCCGCCATGATGAATCATTACGTGTAGGCTACATCACACTCGTGAATATTATTTGCATTTCATTACTATTAATGTTTTTTTATTTATAAAATAAAAGCAAACAGATAAGGTCCTCTAGAGAAGCTGGTATTCAACTAGCAGACCTTGCTACTGGAAACATACTGCTACATCTGTCTACAGCCTTCTTGGTTCTAGTTATTCTTCATCATCCTCAATCTAGGTTGATATCTTCCGTATCCGAGGTCTTTGTCAACTTTATAACAGAAAAAGGTCCAGCCAGTGATAATTAAAGGTAGTAGTATCCAAAGCAAGGATAAAACAGATGACAAAGAGTCTTAAAGGTGAAGAAACACTCAATAAAAGAGCTTGCTTGCACTGTACCACCATTTTTGGGTGTGGCTAATAGTGACGTTTTGATGATGCAAAAATTGATTTACTTCCTGTGACAACTCAACTTGAACCGACTATATAGGGACTTTAGCCGGATTTTGGAGAAACTTTTAAAATTCGTAAAAAATCCAATTTTGATCAGAATCAGTTCAAACTTGCTACACAACATAAGAACATGTATGTGTATCAGAAAAAATTATAAAAATGGAGAATTCTCTCCTAGTCATTTTTGGCAAAATTTGGCTAATGACCCTGTACTATAGTACAGGGACTTTGGCCGGATTTTAGAGTAACTTTAAAAATTCGTTAAAAAATCCGATTTTGATCACAATCAGCTCAAACTTGCTACACAACATAAAAACATGTATATGCATCAGAAAAATTTATAAAAATAGAGAATTCTCTCCTAGTCATTTTTGGCAAAATTTGGCCACAGACCCTGTACTATAGTACAGGGACTTTGGCCGGATTTTTAAGCAACTTATAAATTTTTAATTTTGATTAGAAGTAGCTCAAAATTTATACACAACATTAAGTCATGTATATGTATGAGAAAAATAACAAAATGGAAGTACATTTACATATGTGACCATAATTGAGAAAAGGTACCTTATGGCGGATTCTTAAATTCATCATTATAATGAAAAAATATCAACCTGTGAGTGCTCTGTTGATCAACCATTGTTTCTAAAAGTTACATAGTAACTTTTTGCATCCTCTGGAGTAATTTTATGATAAATGGAGCTCAGGAAGTTGAATTTTTTAGGCTATAAAGACCAATTTCCCTATCCGCCATAAGGTACACATACCTTTTGTCAATTATGGTCACATATGACCATTTTATAAAACACCCTGTATTATAGCACTCTTTGATTAATTGCATACCATGTAGCGTATCATATATTGGAAACCATCCATCAAGTGATTGAATCGAATTAAATAAAGAAGCTAATAATAAATACACCTAATCAGATAAATAAATAAATAAATAATAATCAATGTGCATGAAATAAATCAAATCTTCTTACCCGTCCAATGGCATCAGATGCACTGTACTGATCATAATCCATAACTCTAAATAAATAAATAAATAATAATAATACATAATAATAATAATATCATTATTAATATTATTATATTACTTAAATGTCAATGGTTCTTCCTGCAATTCTTCTTCTCCAACCTGTAGTGGGTGTGGCTGTATAATTAAGTGGGTGTGGTTAGCTTTGTATCTTACGTTAAATTTAAACCAGGGAGAGTCCCAGACAGGGTTGAGCGTCTTCTTACATATATCAGTCCTTTGCATGCTCTGACCCATTCTTATCTATTAGTATTATTATTATTATTATTATTATCATTACCATTATTAATTATTATTTCTATTAATATCATTATTTTAATGTATTTTATTCTTACTTCAACAAAAGCATCAGTCAATTCACTACTCCTGTCCATTACTGGAAGGTCACGAGCTGAAATCACTTTAACTGAGACAATTGCAGGCATTTTAAAATATTTTTTGTTTTTTCCAATTTTCCCCTACTCTTGTTAAATGTGTGGTCAAAGGGTTAAATATTCTCATTTCCGTATACCTAGTCTATTTGGTAATACTAAAGTATACTGTAATCCGTATACTCCATCAGCATGGGTAGCTACTCCACACATCAAGTTCTTTCTCTGCTCAAAAAAGGGAAAAGGCTTCAAAATTTCTTGTTGCAAGCTGAATTAAAACTATTAGGACGTGCAGCAAATAAATTTTATGATAATTTTGACCCTGATGAAAAGCTGTGTCAATCAATATTAAATAAATACCGTATATCATCACGACATATTCTTAATTATCAATTCTCTCCCAGTAAAAAGGTACATTATTTATGAATATTTGCATTAGCTGTAACATTGCAATCATATAATAGCTATTAGCAGCACAAGTCGAGGCTAATAAAACACTTATAATTAATTCAGATGAAGGACATATTGATTCAATTAATTGTAATCCTTCTCAGATATGTAAGTTTAAATTATTATTGTACTATAGTGTTGTGCAGTGTTGCCTAATGATAGTTCCATACTTTATGTAACTAAGAGCTCTGTCAATGAAAGACCTCATGAAGTTTGGAGTCGGTCGCTACAAAAGCAAGATACTTTATTGTATCAAGAAAATAATGAAAGGTATTACTATTAATTTGTTTATTATTATTATTATTACTGCTGTTATTATTATTATTATTTAGTATGCAATTGAATTTGGCACAAACAAGAGACAATAAATACATTACTATTACCTCTGTTTCAAGACTCTGCTCAGAAGTAAACTAATAAAATAATAATAATAATAATAATTAAAAATAATGATAATGACAACAACGATTGATTACATGCTATTATAAAGGTTAGGTTGTTACCTTTATCCATGGATATGTCATGCTCTCCAGCATTAGTAAAAGAAGCTGGAACTAATAATTATTACTATATTGATAGTGCACATGACAGATTATATATTTTAACAAATTATTTACAAGAAAATAGTAACTTTCAGGTAATTATGTGATTGCAGGCACATGTACCAGTACATAGTTTTGTTCATCTTTATTATTATTATTATTATTTGTATTAGTATTAGTATTATTATTATTAAGTGTTATTGTTATATAGTTGATGACAGCTTCATATGGATGTTCAAGCAGATGGGAACCATTTTACATTCCTGACAGCAATGTTAGTGGAAGGGGAAGGATTCGAATGAAGGCAAAAGATAATACTTAAATTTTTAGTTTATATTGCAAGATATTGAACTCTTCAACTCATTCATTGTAATGTATGGAAACACACGTGATCCAACATTACCTGTCATCATAATTAATAACATTAAAAATGAAACGTTTCACAAAATTGTAAGTTGATGTTACTAATGTATTTATTTATTATTTTAAAAGGTATTAAAAGACTTTACTTATGTACAAAAAGCAAGCAATAATGTTAGCATAGCTACTGTGTGTTTTTATAATTATTTTATTTTATTGATTAGTATTTATCTGAGGCTATTAAACTGACTGCTTCCTCAGTAATATCACCTCCAAAACATATTACAATTTCTCATGAAGGAGACATAGTAATTTACGATAATTGTTTTATTTATTTTTAATGTTATTTTATTCATAGTCATTTAAGAACAAAACCAACTTTAAATTACATTTGAAGCATTTGAAAGCAAAAGCTAAGGTTTGTTCTTGCATAGTTGTAAATCAATTTTCGTAGGATGGTGTTATGATTCCAATCACATTGTTTTATGATTCAAAAAGAATTGAATTGAATGGATCTAATCCAATGCTTATGATTGCATATGGTAATAAGAGTATCGTCAATTTGGTATATTTATATTTTAATGTATAAAGGTTGTCATGGAGTATCACTGTACACTGGATATGATGAAACACTACTTCCATTAATAAGAAGAGGGTGGATATTAGCCTACTGCCATATAAGGTATTGATAGTAATGATATTAATAATAATTATCATAATCAATAGAGGAGGAGGTGAGTTAGGAAGACAGTGGTATTTTGATGCAGTTAAAGAAAAGAAACTGAACTCTTTTAACGTAAGCAAGTGTAACACTTACTATTCATTTATTTTCGTTAAACACAGGATCTAATTTATTGTGCTAATCATCTCCATAGAACTGGATACTCTTCTCCTCAACTAACTGCTTTATATGGAAGGAGCTCTGGATCACTTAGTGTTGCTGGAGTATGCAACATTGACCCAGAAATAACAAAAGCAGTCATACTGGAAGTACAGTTTTAAGATGCATTTACTTTACAGTAATATGTATATGTAGATGCCATTGGTTAATCTAATGGATAATTTATTAAATGGGAATCATTACATTAATGCAATGGACTCTGAGGAGTTTGGTGATCCAAAGTAAAGAGCAAGTGAAAATTGAACTCTACATTATTATTGATATTTGTTATAGTATGGAGGGAGTAGTTGAGTCAATATGTCCTTTTCACAACTTAAGGAAACAAGTACTGGATTAAAACTGCATAGTATTGTTATCATTATTATGCTGTGTAGAACTATCCGTCATTTCTTATCACTGCATCAACGATTGATCCACTAGTGATGTATTCTAGTGTAGAAAGATATGTGAAGAGGTTAAAGGATTGCATAGAGCAATACAGAGCAACTTCTGTCAGTGATTGTCATACTGAGGGCATGAAAAGAGGAACAGTTATATTTCATAAAGAAACTGACTCTTCACATTATTGGGCTGATAGCTCCGCCATTCAGAAACAAGTTAGATTAATTAATAATGCACTGAAATGTTACTGCATTTCCCATTTAGGCTCTACTTAAGTTAAATTTTCTCATTAATGCAGTTCAAAGAGGATAAAAATCAATTTTGGGATTTATAACTAATTAATTAATATTAGCCACGCCTATTTCTACGCCCACTACTACTTTTCAAGATGGCCGCTGCTTTGGTAAGAAGAGGTTCTTTCATAGTTTCAGCCAAGAGGACACCGTTTGGTGCTTTTGGTGGTAAAATGAAGGACATATCAGTTGTCGAACTAGCTGCAATTGCTAACAGAGCAGCCATAGAAGCATCAGGGGCGCCTCCTGAGGCCATTGATTCAGTCATAACTGGAAATATATTACAGGTCTGAATGAGACAGCGAAGGGGCGAGGCCAGACTAAAATTGATCTATTTTTACTCAAATCTTTTTCTCATTTAGTCTTCTATTGATGCTGGTTATATATCAAGACATGCTGCACTCAAGGCTGGTGTACGTGAGTCAGTACCAGCTCTAACTATCAACAGGTTGTGTGGATCAGGTTTCCAGTCTGTCGTCAGCGCTGCACAAGTGAGACCACCCACACTAATTAAACCATAAAGTACCCCACCCCTTTAATTGACTAATGATATAGGAGATTGAAGTTGGATTGAGCCAGTGTGTTCTTGCTGGAGGAGCAGAAAATATGAGTCAAGCACCTCATACACTCCGTGGTGCAAGATGGGGGATACCCTTAGGCAAAGAACCCAAGGTACCCACTCTTTATGATTACAAGACGTTGTGTTACTATTTTTAGCTTGAGGATACTTTGTGGGCTGGCCTAACTGATTATTATTGCAAAATGCCAATGGGTATAACGGCTGAGAATTTAGCAGAGAAATACAACATAAGCAGAGAAGAATGTGACCAATTTGCACTGTCCAGTCAAGAAAGATGGGCAAATGGTTAATAATGATTTATATTTTGATGTCTCTATCTTACTTCTCTTCTTTCCTCCTGTAGCTAATGCTGAAGGGTATTTCAATGCTGAGATTGCTCCAGTTGAAGTGAAGGTAAAGAAAGGAAAGGAGATGTTTTCTGTTGATGAACATCCTCGACAAACTACGATAGAGAAACTCTCCTCTTTGCCACCTGTATTTAAAGAAAACGGAACAGTTTCTGCTGGAAATGCCTCCGTAAGAAAAAGAAAAAATCACTCCTTAGATCATTTTTTCCTCTTTTTCTTCTGCCATACCTCAGGGCATTTGTGATGGAGCCGGTTCTCTTGTTGTAGCTAGTGAGGAAACAATTTCAAAGTATAACTTGAATCCATTAGCTAGAGTTGTTGGGTATGGTCTAACTGGTGTGGATCCAACCATAATGGGGATTGGACCAGTCAATGCTGTACGTAGTCTGTTGTCAATTGCTGGACTGACACTTAATGATATTGAGCTAGTTGAAGTAAGAGATAATTCACTAATTCATCAACTTCATTACATATTAATGATTTTCCCAAAAACTGATTCTGAAAAAGAGCTGAATTTTAGCAACTTTAAAAATTCGTAAAAAATCTAAACTTGATCGGAATGAGCTGAAACTTTTTACACAGCATAAGTACGTATATATGTATCAGAAAAAAAATTATAAAAATGAAGAATTCTCTCCTAGTCATTTTTGATTAAATTTGGCTGATGACCCTGTACTATAGCACAGGGACTTTGGCCAGATTTTGGAGCAACTTTAAAAATTCATAAAATATCCAGTTTTGATCGGAATCAGCTCAAACTTTTTACAAAACATCAGGACATTTCTATGTATTAGGAAAGAATCATTAAAATGGAGAATTCTCTCTTAGCCATTTTTGACAAATTACCCTGTACTATATATAGTACAGGGTCATTGACCAGATTTTGGAGCAGCTTCAAAAAATGATTTACTACTATTACACCATGTTTGTGTCTGTATCATTTCATCCTCTGCAGGTAAATGAAGCTTTTGCTCCACAGACATTATCAGTCATTAAAGAATTAGGACTAGAGAAAGAGAGGACTAATGTTAACGGAGGAGCTATAGCATTGGGTCATCCATTGGCTGCTTCAGGCTCACGTATACTAGCTCATCTTGTCCACGAGATGAGGAGAAGAGGAGCCAAGTATTCCATTGGATCTGCTTGCATTGGAGGAGGACAAGGAATAGCAGTACTACTGGAGAACACACAAAAATAATATTAATAATAATACTGATAATAATAATAATAATTTAGTTTGTTTGTAACTTTGAATTATAATAGTATCAAAATAATATTTATGAACAATAATGTATAAATAATATTCTTTTATGTATCACTCAAAAATACACCATTGCATCAACTTGAGTTAATTTTGTAACTTCCCAATTTTATCAGGGTCATCAGTATTAAGCTCACTGATAATCCTCTTGAAGTGATTCTGTATCCTCATCATATTATCATAGGCTTCTTGACTATCAACAAAACATATTGTGAGACCAGATTGTGCAAATCTTCCAGGCCTCCAAATCCTGTGGAGGTACGTCTGGCAGTCTGGCTCATTGTTAAAATCCACTGGAATATCCCAATTGACCACTAGTGTCAACTACAATATAAAAGTGTGTGTGCTCATTTAAATAATACTAGGAAAATGTTTCTCTGTATTTACTTGGTCAATATCGACATCTTTAAGAGTTGTGATCAAGATTCTTTCCTGTCCTTTTCTAAGCCTATATATAGTCATAATTTGATTGAAATTTGAGAGAAGAGAGAATACCTGTTCAATACATCATTCCTTTGTTGAATACTTGACCTGTTGGTCAATAGAGCTACGGCATGTCCCTCTTCCTTCATTTTATCTGCAAGCCAAATAGCTGATCCACTTGTCTGCAAAAAAGCAAAAAAATAATAATCTTTCTTGTCTCCTTTTTCCCTACTCACACAACAGGATACAATACATTGGCCAATAGTTAGGACGCCATAAATGTTAGTCAAGGCAGCAAATTTCTCTTCATCACCAGCCCGGCACTGAACATAGTACTGCTTTATATTATCAAGGCTTTCCTCTAAACGTCTCAAACGAATAACATCAGGGTCAAGAATTACTAGACATTGAAAAAATGAGACCAAAAGTTGACAATATTGTAGGAGTACTTTTATTGGCAAAGGACATCACCTCTTTACTGCATGTTACACTGAACAAGACGTGTTGACAATCAGTCCTTAATAATCTAATGAGAGATAAGATCATTAATTTTATGCTCTTAATCCCCTCCTTTGCCATTTTACTTGCGCAGTCTGATTGCCTGGTCCTGCTGTCCTTGAGTGTCAATCATGATATCTGCTTCATCAAGTACAAACATGTTGATCAGTTTAGGATCAAAAACACGATACCTGACAGCACAATCAAGTATAGTACCAGCAGTACCAATGATTATGTGCTCAGTGATTCTCTGATTACCTAAAGTGGAAATCATAAGCAATGAGTGAATACTTGTGTGTTAAAATAACAAATTTTGTCCCATATTTTAGCACAAATGTAGTTTTAGCACATATTGTGGAAAATTAACACACCAATATTTTAAAAATTCATCAAAAAGCACACTTTTTTGTGCTAATACATTTGTTTTAAAATAACACCTGTGTTTTGTGCTATATTATTTTTGGAACAAAAATATGTGCCAATTTAACTTAACACACTTCTCTCTGAGGTTCTCTTTGATCCAAAAACTACAAGTTTCATTTGAATTTCAGGAGAGTTTTGTGTCATTTGCTGCAAGGCCCTAGCAGTTTGCTGAGCTGATTCTTCAGTAGGGGAGAGGCAAAGCATCTAATAAGAGAAATTTAGAGAGGGTAATAGCAAAACTATATAGTCTAGTGCATGTGATTGACTGATTGTTACTTGAGGGTAATGCCTTGATGCATCCACCCTGGCTAACATTGCCAAAACAAAAGCAACTGTGTTACCAGTTCCACTTCGACTCTGGACAATAATGCTTTGAGGTCTAACAAGAGAAGACACTAATAACCAGCTATCATTCTTGTACTCAAAATCCACTTTAAATTAATTCTTTTTTTTGCTTACGGGTCAGCTAGTAGAAGGGGTAGAACCTCTTCTTGTATCTTGGATTGCTTGTACACTCTTATGTGTATGCCTTTGGAGCTATGAAAGGGAGAGTCGCTGTTGAAGTTAGCCTCACATTCACCAGCATCACATTCATTACAAACCACAAGGAATTTGAGATATTTTTGGCACATTTTTAAAGTGCTTCTTTTATGGAATCAATATTTTATTGTTATAATAAAAATTTGTTTTTGTAGCCACTTTCGGTAATAAGATGCTTTGGTATTTGAATATTTTAGGATGCTCATAGCTAACTCATATTTATAAATCAACATCTGATAAATACATTTTTATTCTCAATAGTTAACTGAGATGATGTTGTTGATTCAATTGAGATTGTTTGATTAATGATACACAAATTTTTAGGAGGTTAAAATTACTGGGAGATTCTTAAGTATAGCCAGTAAGTTGATACTTTCCTGCATGGGAGGCCAATTGATAAAAAACTAAATACCCATATAGGAGGTTGATAAGTAAATTGCCAGAAGTTTAATAAGTTTGTCTGGGAGGTTGATCATTTTTGCTTTAAAATGCACATGCAGGCTTTTGCTAAGTGTTGCTAAGTAAACTAGCTGTTTATTTATTGTACACAGTAGAAGTCAATCATACACCCCTGCACCCTGCCATCTTTACTTGTTTATACACATATATAAAGTTTAATTCTATAACATACGGGTTTAATGTATTTGAGAGTACCAGTATTCTTCCTCTGGAAGATGCAGCAGATTTACTGTAGTTTTCATCTGTATCAGGAGCTGCTTCAGCCATTATGAATAAACTAGAGAAGTGGATATTGACTTATAATTTATTTCATTATCATCTGTGTTATAACTCAAGTGTTATAACTCAATTTAATACATGCTTGCACACAAGCATATAAGTTTAAGCATAACATAAAAGTTTTCAAAGAATTGATTTGCACACATGGTTTTAAGAATATTATTTTTATATGACATTAGTGTCATGGATCATCACTTGTTTCATTCATGCATTCATATAAACTAAATGGTCACGTATTAGCATAACATCCATTAGTATCATAGATCTATGTTTGTAAGTTTTACTAGGCCATCAGATTCTCATGAGTGAGGATGCAATTAATTATTATGATGCAGATTGATCTTGATCAATTACAAAACCTCAATCACAGTTACACATTTAATTACACTCCTTTTATAAATATAGAATTACAATTATGCCACAATGAAGTAATTTCAATTAAAAATACTACTTTGCATGAAACAGAATTACAGAAACACAACTTAGTTTTAAAAAGGACAGTTCATCTGTCATAAAAGTAATAACATATTGTCCCTAGGGTTTGCCACAAAGTGTAAGTAGCAAAACAGCACATTTCATGAACTTACAAGCAATGCACTATAGTGCATGGCTTTTAGAGTAATTTTAAAATTTATAAAAATTCGATTTGATTGGAATCAGTTCAAATATACAACATCAGAATATGTATATGTATGTATCAGATAAAATTATAAAATGGAGAACTCTCTCCTAGCTATTTTTGACAACATATGGATTAGGGTTTTCTACAAAGAGCACACCTTATGAATTGGCAAGAACCTGAGCACTATACTGAAAAACTCTGATTGCCACACTTCCATCTATTATGTGTACAGTACATGTACATATGATCATGTAATGTGAAGTGGCTATTGACGTAGATTGAGAGCATTTTCTATGACAACTCAATTTCAATAAAAATCCCAATTACATTCTGTTTAGGCTTAAGTCTCAATTACAATCAAAATTATGTAATTGTAATTGTAATTGAGGCTCTAAGTACAATTGCAATTGTAATTGACCCCGAAATCTGTTACGATGTTATAAATAATTCATTATTAACTGTATGCAAAACTGTAAAAAAATTAATTATTAGTGATTCTGCACAATGGGGTGGGAAACGGGAAATTGTGAATCAAGTTGAAGTGGCCTTAAGGTGGTCATTTATACAGGCTTGTAATGCAACCCATTACATGTGCAGTATGAACTAGGGGGAGGGGCTGGCTACATGAGACGAAAAGTGAACCAGCCTGAGGGTCATTTTTTACATAAAAATTAAAAAATGCTCATAATATTGTTGCTATCAAAGCTTAATTCAGTCAGGTTAACTGATCAGGGGAATTCCAGTATTGATATATAGTTTACTAAATGCATGCATGGTACATAATATTAGTACTCTCTTGATGGCAGTAATGGCAGCACATTAAATGCAGTAATGGTAGTAATCATTGGCAGTAACTTTGGCAGTAATGGCAGTTAAATGCATGCATGGCAGTAATGGAAATAATGGCAGTTAAATACAGTAATGGCAGTAATCATTGGCAGTCAGCTGGACATCGCACATGTATACACAATACATAAATATCTACACAAATTTTCAGGCTCAGGTAGATAGTGGTAAATATAGTGGAGAGCAGCCTAAAATATTCTCCTTTATTTTCATATATTTTCATATATTATATCTATACTAAAATAATGATTCGAAAGGCTGAAAAAACTGTTTCCTAATGCTTATTCTTCTCCATTTTAGTGCTAATCAGGCAGGTAGCCATTGTGCATTTTTTCTTTTCAACAAAATACATTCTTTTGTATGAAATTTCAGTGTCCACATGGCTAAATGTATCACAAGTGAATTACTGCAATGGAAGATTTCATGCAGTCACACATTTTTAGTAGACGAAAATACATGAAATACACATCTACTTACATAGTAAATACAAGTATATACCGGTTAAAAAATTAAAATACAAGTAGATACAGAGTAGATGTGCTATGTCTGTTAAAATGGCAGTAACTTATGGCAGTAATGGCATCCTTAAATGCATAGATGGCAGCAATGGGTCCAGCTTGCTAGACTATTTCAGCCAAAGTCAGTGTCCATGCATGCCATAAAATTACAGAACTTATCTTTATAGACCCACATGCATATCCAATCCTTTGAGAACCCTCAGATCCTGCCGGTCGTGCACGTGAACTTAAATATAATAATCGCGGGCGTACAGGTACAGTTGCTACAATTATAGATACTACAAAAAATGCATAGACTGTCCCGAAAGCTACTTTTAACACTGAAAATTTCCAAAACTACATTACTCTATAGTTGCATAACGTTTGGGTCATTTGAGTTCATTATTATGAAGACAGCATAAACGGTTACAATGTCGGCAATGGTCACTGCCACATCATTCAGCATTTGTAACAGTGGCGGACAGAATATCACCTCGAGCAATGATATAAACATTTTAAAATGCTTAAAAATATTGGCTTACTAGTGTTCCTTAGTCCTCACTTTCTGTGGTGAACTGATTCAACTGAAATACTAAAGCTCCTTGAAAGATCACAAGTTCTTTCGATAGCCGCTTAATCAATCACTAAAGGGTTAATAAAAATAGATCTGACAACCACGCCCACCGCAAATGGATTGCTAGCTCTACCTCTGACTGAATTTGTATCTTTACTGATGAGCAGCTCTAATCGGCGTTGTTTTTACCACTAGTAGTGTTCAGAAAATAGAACTTAGAATTCTGGGTTGCCGGAGCGACGAACAGCTCAGGTTGGCTTGCAAGAGTTGCCTCTTTACCCCCACAAGAGCATGCAAATGATCTTGAAACATCACCTGTGTACTTGTTCGAGGACTCATTGCCAATGCAGTTGCTGCATATGTCACAACTTGAATTGCTTCACTATAGATACTGGTGTCAAGTCTGCGGCTTACCATTTGGAATGCCCACGGTATCTTTCTGCCACTGATACTCTTCTTTGCGCACTAAGCCTTCTGAAACAGCAGCTAGGCTTTCCTCTTTGCTAGCATTTTCTGTCCGCAAAAATACCCGTAGCTCTCTGGACCAAACTAGCCCTGTCCATGTTATCATTACTGCCGGTGTTACTGAATTCTTGGGAGATATGCAATGCTGGTGAGAAAGAATGAAAACAGGATGTGATGTTTGCATTCCTGCAGTTCAAATTTCCCTGACCATTTGGACCAGTCACATCCTGCAGGTTTAGAGAACTGCTGGACTATATAACACTTAATGATTGAGCTTTGGGGATTGAAGTACAACAGAGAGAAATAATTCTCAACTATGCTATATAGTGAGGAGATAGTTTGAAAATTAGCTCTGAAAAAAAACAGACATCGCACATGTATACACGATACATGAATATCGACATGAATTTTCAGGCTCAAGTAGATAGTGGAGAGGAGCCTAGAATATTGTCTTTTATTGACATAATCATAAAGGCTTAAAAGACTGTTTCCTAATGCTTATTCTTCTCCATTTTAGTGCTAATCAGGCAGGTAGCCATTGTGCAATTTTTCTTTTCAACAAACCATATTATTCTTTTGTATGAAATTTTAGGGTCGACATGGCTTATATCATAAGGGAAAAACTGCAATGGAAGATTTTATGTGATGTTTTTTGCATTAAGTGGCACATTTTTAGTAGACAAAATACATCTACTTACAAAGTAAATACAACTTACCACCAGTTAAAAATTAAAATACAAGTAGATACAAAGTAGATAGAACTTGAATAGATGTGCTATGTCTGCTGAAAAACCACAAAAGTAGTCTCATACAAAATGCGATATGAACTATAATTCTCAGTAGAAACTGAAGAATCAGCTCAAAGCTTCAAACTTCAGTTCTACAACATGATAAGGACATGATATTAGTCTCGCGAGTAGGCCCGCAAGACTATATAGTATGCATTTGATTTTAATCCAACAACAAATCTAGACTCTCCTACCTTGATTTGTTACCTCTGCTATATTGACTTGAGTACACAGAAGCCATTTTCTTCTTTGCCCAGTTCAAATATCGGGATCACTAGTTTGACATCTGCAAATATTTCTCATTTTCATCTGATATATATACCACTCGTAGCTCAACTCACAACAAGTTAGTTCACTCCTTGGTATGTTATTTGGGATTTAAATCCTTCTCTTTTGTCTCTCCCTCTTGACTCTCTCTATTATATGTACTGGGTCGCAGGGCTAGATCCTGTCATTCCTTAGGGACTATTCCCCTTTTTTTACTTGCCTCCTATCTCTTTGTCTCCATTTACTATATAATTCTGTAAAAATAAAAATAATAATAATAATATGTATACCCCCGGCATTATGTATGCATATTAATGCATACATATTACCACAAAAATAATAATAATAACGATAACACACAAAAATAATATTAATAATAGTAGTAATAATGATGTAGTATTAATAATAGTAGTAATAATGATGTAGAATGTAGTAAATGTGTGTGTGTGTAACTGTGGATAATTATAATTGACATTTTGTTCTCATTTCTGTTGGTATTTATTGTAGTACATATTAAATGATTATTGCAAAACTTAATTGAGAAAGTGATAAAATCAACTCTGTGTGTATAAGTGATAACTATATTCATGACATGTGAAATGATAAATCAGGTGTGTGCATGTTGTTATAAATAAATGAACTCAATCAGTATTATATCATAAAACAGTATTATATCATAAAACAGTATTTTGCTGTTCACTTTAAAGTCATTAATTTTGTAACTTCTCAATCTCATCAGGGTCATCAGTATCAAGCTCACTGATAACTCTCTTGAAGTGATTCTGTATGCTCATCAAATTATCGTAGGCTTTCTGACTGTCAACAAAATTGATGGCGAGACCAGATTTTCCAAATCTCCCAGACCTGCCAATCCTGTGTAGGTATGTCTCGCAGTCCGGTTCATGATTAACATCCACTGGAATATCATAATTGACTACCAGTGTTACCTATGAAATAAAAGTGTGTGTGTGTTCATATTAGATAATAAGTAGGTTTCTTTGTACTCACTTGGTCAATATCGATTCCTCTAGCACAGAGATTGGTTGTTATCAGTAGTCTTTCACTTCCTTCTCTAAATCTGTTGCATAAAGAAAGTGAGAGAGAGAGAGAGAGGGGCTGTGTGAGTACCTGTTCAACACAGCAATCCTTTGTTCAACATTTGACTGGCCAGTCAAAAGAGCTACAGCATGTCCATCTTTGTTCATTTTACCTGCAAGCCAAATAGCTGATTTTCTTGTCTGCAAACGAACAAAAAAATATTATTTTTCCTGTCTCCTTTATTTCCACTTACACGACAGAATACAATACATTGGCCAATAGTTAGGACGCCATAAATGTTCGTCAAGGCAGTGTATTTCCCTTCATCGCCAGCTGTGCACCAAACATAATACTGCTTTATATTATCAAGACTTTCCTCTGAACGCCTCAAACGAATAATATTAGGATCGGATATTACTAAAAATTAAAAATAATGAAAGAAAGTCTGGAATATAATGAATGTAGGAGTACTTTTATTGGCAAAGGACATCACCTCCTCACTGTATGTTGCACTGAACAAGACATTTTGACAATCAGTCCTCAATAATCTAATGACAGATAGAACCATTAATTCATCTTATAACCATGGACTATAGCCTTTGCTTTTTTCTGGAAATTTGCTAATTTTTAAATGGCCATAGCTTAAAAAATTTTAGTCAAAATCGACTCAAACTTCTACAAAGCATTAGCAATGCGTATCTTAATCCACTCCTTAGTCATTATACCTGTGTAGTCTAATGGTCTGGTCCTGCTGTCCTTGAGTGTCAATCATGACATCTCCTTCATCCAGTACAAACATGTTGATCAGTTTAGGATCAAAAACACGATACTTGACGGCCCAATCAAGTGTAGTACCAGCAGTACCAATGAGAATGTGCTCAGTGACTTTCTCGTTAGACAAACGATGTTGAAAAACTACAAAGTGAAGAATAAGCATTTTTTTTACATTCAAACTATAATATCATAACAATATACCTCTTGATCCCCTAACAGCATATTTCATTTTAATCTCAGGGAAATATTGTGCCATTTGCTGCAGGACCTTGCCAGTCTGCTGTGCTAGATCAAATGTAGGAGAGAGGCAAAGTATCTAAATAAGGAAAATAGTCTCAGAGATTAAGAGAGGGTGTGATTGTTACTTGAGGGTAAGGCTTAGATGCATCCACTCTGGTTAGCATTGCCAAGACAAAAGCAGCTGTCTTTCCAGTCCCACTTTGACTTTGAGCAATTAAATTCTGAGGACTATATAATAATAAAAGAAACTACTTTTAATTAAGCTCTCTTGCTCAGTATTAAAGTCTCTCTCCCTTCTTTTGTAAGTATCAACTTACGGGTCAGCTAGTAGAAGTGGTAAAGCCTTTTCTTGTATCTTTGATGGCTTGCTGAATTTCATACTATAAATACCTTTCAAGAGGTTAGGGTGCCTTTATATGAGAGAGAGGTGTTAAATTGTTAATGTACATGATCATAGCATTATCATGACAAAACAGTAAATAAACAAAACAGGAATTTTTAGCATTGTTTTGACAACTTACAAAAATCTGAAACGTGCTCATAACTTAATATTAGTTTTGCAAATATGAATATAGGCTCAGACTTCATGCATGGCCAAAACTTAAGGAATGTTTCGATTTTTACTTTAAGTTCTAACAATCATACGATATTAATTAATTCTAAACATACAGGTTTAGCTCCTCAAATGTTGTTGCTGAGTAAAGAGGAGAAGATGGATCATTTTGGACAACATGGACTTCACTATAAATATCAACGAGTTTCTTCCGCAGTATCTTCGTGAAAAGTGATGCTTCAGCTTTAGTAAGAGGAGAGTCTTCAAAATCTTCATCAATAGTAGCTAGAGTGGTTGATCTTAATGATTGAGTGATACCAGCTGCAGCTGCTGGAGTGAAGCCAAGTCCTGATGTAGGCCAGGCTGCAGCTGAAGACTGAGTGATTTGGACCTCTCTTTCCTGTTGATATACTGCTTGGATCCAGTTTACTGTATCAGCCATGTTTAGAATAATAAAGCGAAGCTACAGGATTAACAGGACAACAGGAGCATAGAGAAAGTTTATAGTCTAGCTACACGAGGGTTCGGGGCGTAGCCTGGGTCTAGTCACGTGATCATAATAGATCTTATCAGCTGCAGAAGAAATCATAGAAATGGCTAGTTGTACCGGTATTCCTTCTGTGTATTTGTCTCTTAAAACTCTCAGTAGGTCTAATCTAATCTAATAGCAGTTTACTTTAATTATAACTAATGAATAGGTATTGATGATCTAAATGATGTTTTGCAGTTTCTTAAGGATTGTGACTTCTCTGACAAAGAATGGATGACCCTTGGCCTCAACCTTGGCTTAACCAAAAATACATTGGACAGCATTGAAGCAAATCACCCAAGTGATATTCACCATTGTTTAGTGGAATGCCTGTCCAAGTGGCTCCAAAGAGGTCTTAGTCCTACTTACAGCTCACTGATAGCTGCAGCTCATTTCTTGGAGGCCACAGCTGAGAAAATGAAAAAGAACATAGAAAAGAGTGAGTTGGAAATAATATGATATCATGAGTTGCCTGCAAATATAAATTGTGCGCTGACCCTTTTGACACGCATTATTTAAAGGGATCGAAGCTACTACACTGAGTCGTTGCAATTAATATAAGTTTCACAAATAATGTGTGCTAGAACGGGAAATACTAGAAACGATTGATTTCCTTTCAGTTCCTTTGAATCAGTGAGTTCCTGTAACTCTAAGCAACAGAAGTCTTGTTAAAGAAAAAATGACAGCACAGTATACTTGCATGCCTTGATGCATCACTTTGTTATGCAAGTTGACTGATGATGCCAAAGAAGGCCTTACTATATGCATGAAGAATATAATGACACTATATTATATATGATTAATATATTTATTATAATATATATATATAATTTACAAGGTAATTATTACAGAGGTATAGTCACTGTGCATAATAACTTATGTACTATAATAATTCAACTACATCAGTATAATGGAGTTTATACAACGCTAAACTCTTGCCATAAAGTATACAATTGTATTTACATATGTTGTTATTTTAGGCTCTGTGCTTTATAGTGGAGTTTTGTATCATCAACAAAAGGAAGTTGGATGCTGGGAAACAACACTAGCTGTTGGCAAAGATGCAAATGCACTTATACAAGTAATATATTGTGTCATAATTGTGACAATTAATATGCTATTGTATAGCATATTAGAAGTACATTTCCACATGCTGAACAAGATACTTCGATATCATTTACATTTGCTCAACCTAATGGCATACTTGAATTGAAACTGAGTCCTGTAGGAAGAGTTCCACGTGAGTATGGATGGAGACTAGATCCTAAGCAAGAACCAATGCAAGTATGTCCACATACAGATACATAATTTCTATCATGCACATTATATCTAGATACATGTCTTTCAAAGTGTTGTTGAAAATGCTTTGATGGGTAGTTGCAGTATGTCAGTGTATGCTAAACCAGGTGTTGCTACAGAATCAATTCGGCATCCAATTAAGTTACTTGGAATAGAACCTGAAACTACTATTTACATCAACAGACAACCTCCTCCTTCTCCTTTCCCTGCTGCTCCATTAAAAGGTAAATCAAATGACGTAGTGACTATTGTATTTATATTCTATTTGTTAGAAAAAAGATCAAATGAAATTGTTTTACGTATGCATATGCATGAATTAGGTAATAACAAGAGTAAGCACTGTAGTTCCATATTAATGAATTGACTTTAAGAAAAAAAATAGATACTGTTTGTCAAATAATACAAAAATCTTTCAGTAATAGGTGATCCACTTAACTATGATTATGGTTGTGATCTCATAAACAAGCAAGATAAGAGAATAAAGAAAAATCTTGTCCTGACTCCAAATTTTTTGCAGAGTTTAGTTGAGAGAGGAGTAATTAACGAAAAGACTAGAAATTTTCTTAATGAAAGCTATGACAAGACTGGTAACGAAATAATGGATTTACTAATCACAGATGTCTGGACCGCTGTTTACTTTGATGAAACCAATTTTCTATTCTTTTTGGAAGCAATGAGAGATCAGGATTCCGCAGAAACTAATAAATTAGCAGATATTTTGAAAATGCTTTATGTTATGAAGCGTGAGAAAGGTGAAGATGATTTTAGATTGCTCAACTTGACTGATATAATTATTGTGTAAAAAATACTTTTAATTAAACAAATAATTGATAAATAAAAACCACATAATTATCACAATATCAAAAAAATCAGTACAACATAATAATAATAATAATAACAATGATAATGAGATGATGAGGGGAGAGAGAGTATGAAACATCTGTCTTAATTCTAATCAAAAAATATCAAGATCAAGCTCGTTAAATATATTATTAGATCTGACAGGATCAGCATCAACTTGATTCAAGAGCTGCTGCAGGTCAGAGCAATTCTCAAGCCCATCAATCAAACTGTGATAAGCTTGAGCTGAGCCCTCGAGATCAACTTCAGCAGGAAACAGGCCAGGAGGAAAGCCGTAATTGAAATCTTTTCTGTGTGGGGTTGGTGTTATCATCTTCAAGTAATTATCAACAAGTCTCTGAGCAGTCACTGCATTTTCCTGCACTGTAGTGTCTGCTGGTTGAGTGACTACACTTGAAGACTGAGAGTCAACAAGGGCCTGAGAGGAAGTAGAGGGAGCAGGAAGAGGAGGAGGTATGGTGCTGCTGCTTTTTGAGGTCTGCTGCCAGTTTAAATCAGGAAGAAGGTCGGTGAGTACATTGTTTTTCATTCCTCCTCTACTACTGCTTGCTCCTCTATTAACAGGACCAGAGGTTGATTGTTTGGAGGCATCAACTTGTGTCACTGTTTCTTGAGCCTGCTCTGACTTCTCCCCTCCAGTTGACCTAATAATAATAACAACAACAACAACAACAACAACAATAATAATATCATACTTATAACTTAAGAATAGCTTTACACAGCATTTGTAAATTGATAGCCCTCACCTTGTCCTTGTATGTACTACATTAGTGCACACAACATACTCCACTTGATGAGAGAATGGATTAACAAAACTGAAGGCTTTCATTGCAAGCCAAACCCACTTCTTGTCCTTTGAGAGGAACCGATAATGGACAGTTGGCATTGGAGTCCTCTGCTTCATTGCTAAAGAAAAGGAGAGACTCGTTATGATGTTAGAGGAGGGATTAAAGTACAGTACCTTCATGGTGGAGCTGTATCATCTTTTGCATGTCATCAGGATGGAAGTAATCATAGGAGTTGTGACCAATGAGATCTTGGGGAAGATAACCCAAAATATTAGAGACACTAAAAAAATAAAATAAAATAATAATGATACATGAAGGAAAAAAAGAGAAACGAAAAAGTTTAAATACCGTGGGTCAATATAGCTGAAACGTCCATCAACTCCAACTCTTGCAATAAACTCTCTATCATTGCTAGGTAGCATGGAACTAGCACAAGCGGAAGAGGTGGAGTCTCCAAAATGCTGCAACCTAGCAACAGCAACAAGACAGGCCCCGTTGGCATCTTTCTCAACTTGTAAAGATTGTCTCTCAGCCAGAGTCAGGTTCCTAATAACCATTAATAACCTTTAATAACCAGTACTTAATAACTAATGTGACAACATTAAACATTTCAGATAGCCATAACTTTAAAAATATTAATCAAAATCAGCTCAAACTTTCTATACAGCATAAATACATCAATATCTTTCAGAAAATGTAATAAAAATTGGGGGTGATTTCGGAGCCATTTTTTAGAAAAAACCATGGGCTATAGCCTTGGGTATTTTTCAAAATTTTGACATTTTCTTAAAATGGCTGTAACTTGAAAAATTGAAGTTGGAATCAGTTCAAAATTTCTACAAAGCATAAGCACATCAATATGTATCAGAAAATGCAATCCTTTGTTCAACATTTGACTGGCCAGTCAAAAGAGCTACAGCATGTCCATCTTTGTTCATCTTACCTGCAAGCCAAATAGCTGATTTTTTTTGTCTGCAAACAAACAAAAAAAAATTATTTTTCCTGTCTCCTTTATTCCCTACTTACACGACAGAATACAATACATTGGCCAATAGTTAGGACGCCATAAATGTTAGTCAAGGCAGTGTATTTCCCTTCATCGCCAGCTGTGCACCAAACATAATACTGCTTTATATTATCAAGACTTTCCTCTGAACCCCTCAAACGAATAATATTAGGATCAGAAATTACTAAAAATTAAAAATAATGAAAGAAAGTCTGCAATATAATGAATGTAGGAGTACTTTTATTGGCAAAGGACATCACCTCCTCACTGTATGTTGCACTGAACAAGACATTTTGACAATCAGTCCTTAATAATCTAATGACAGATAAAATCATTAATCTTATGCTCTTAAACCATTTTTTCTTAAAATTTGGTAATTTTTAAAAATGGGCAAACTTAAAAAATTTTAGTCAAAATCGACTCAAACTTTCTACACAGCACAAGCAATGTGTATCTTAATCCACTCCTTAGCTATTATACCTGTGGAGTCTGATGGTCTGGTCCTGCTGTCCTTGAGTATCAATCATGACATCTCCTTCATCCAGTACAAACATGTTGATCAGTTTAGGATCAAAAACACGATACTTGACAGCCCAATCAAGTGTAGTACCAGCAGTACCAATGAGAATGTGCTCAGTGACTTTCTCATTAGACAAACGATGTTGAAAAACTACACAAAGTGAGGAATAAGCATTTATTACATTCAAAATACAAAATACCTCTTGATCCTCTGACAGCATATTTCATTTTAATCTCAGGGAAATATTGTGCCATTTGCTGCAGGACCTTGCCAGTCTGCTGTGCTAGATCAAATGTAGGAGAGAGGCAAAGTATCTAAATAAGGAAAATAGTCTCAGAGATTAAGAGAGGGTGCGATTGTTACTTGAGGGTAAGGCTTAGATGCATCCACTCTGGTTAGCATTGCCAAGACAAAAGCAGCTGTCTTTCCAGTTCCACTCTGACTCTGAGCAATTAAATTCTGAGGACTACAATCAGAAAAAATACATTTAATTAAGCTCTCTTGCTCAGTATTAAAATCTCTCTCCCTTCTTTTGTAAGTATCAACTTACGGGTCAGCTAGTAGAAGTGGTAAAGCCTTTTCTTGTATCTTTGATGGCTTGCTGAATTTCATACTATAAATACCTTTCAAGAGGTTAGGGTGCCTTTATATGAGAGAGAGGTGTTAAATTGTTAATGTACATGATCATAGCATTATCATGACAAAACAATATATAAACAAAACAGGAATTTTTAGCATTGTTTTGACAACTTACAAAAATCTGAAACGTGCTCATAACTTAATATTAAGGCCTTTCTACACTTGTCCACTTTGGATCCAGAATTAAGACAAAATCCAGGATTAAAGCAGGATTAGCTTGTTCACACTTGTCTTGAATTGGGATTGAAGCTAGATCCAGTCAATCCACATCCAGAGGTGGATTGAAGTGGATTGATCTCAATTAAATATTCATAACCTGTAGAAGCCAATGCAGTTTAATTCACTTTTAATTCTTCAAAGTAGCTTAGTGTGAACACAACCAAAGAGGATTCTATATTAGTAGGTTGCAATTCTGAATCAAAAGTGGACAAATGTAGAAAGGCCTTTAGTTTCGCAAATATGAATATAGGCTCAGACTTCATGCATGGCCCAAACTTACAGGAATGTTTCTATTTTTACTTTAAGTTCTAACAAATCATACAATATTAATTAATTCTAAACATACAGGTTTAGCTCCTCAAATGTTGTTGCTGAGTAAAGAGGAGAAGATGGGTCATTTTGCACAACATGGACTTCACTATAAATATCAACGAGTTTCTTCCGTAGACTAGTATCTTCGTGAACAGTGATGCTTCAGCTTTAGTAAGAGGAGAGTCCTCAAACTCTTCATCAATAGTAGCTAGAGTGCATGGAGTGGTTGATCTTAGTGATTTAGTGATACCAGCTGCAGCTGCTGGAGTGAAGCCAAGTCCTGATGTAGGCCAGGTTGCAGCTGAGGACTTTGTGATTTGGGCCTCTCTTTCCTGTTGATGTACTGCTTGGATCCAGTTCACTGTATCAGCCATTATAATAAAGCTACAGGATTTCACAGCAAAGTTTACACTGTCTAGCTCAAGGTCTAGCTAGCTACACGAGGGCCGGCTCGGGGCGTAGCCTAGGCTATTAAATCACGTGATCATCTTGCTGCAAAACACCAGGCCAGGAGTGGCTGAGAAATGGCTAGCTGTAGCGAGAGCTGTAGTCCTTCTGTGTCTCTTCAAACTCTCAGTAGGTCTAATAGCAGTTAACTTTAATTATAACTAATGGGTAGGTATTAATGATCTAGATGGTGTCTTACAGCTTCTTAAGGATTGTGACTTCTCTGACAAAGAATGGATGACCCTTGGCCTCAAGCTTGGCTTAACCAAAAGTACATTGGACAGCATTGAAGCAAATCACTCTAAGGATGTTCACCGTTGTTTAATGGAATGCCTGTCCAAGTGGCTCCAAAAAGCTGATGAGGCTGTTAGTCCTACTTACAATTCACTGTTAACTGCAGCTCATTTCTTGGCGGAGGCCACAGCTGAGAAAATGAAAGTGAAAATAGATCAAAAGGGTGAGTTATTAATAATATGATGTTACGAATCAACTAGTATACCTGCAGATATAAATCGTGCCCTGACCATTTTTGATAAGTATTATTCAAAGCTACTACAGTCATTGTCTGATCCTGAAACTATGGCTTATAAGCTGCACAAGGAAGGTGTGTTTGAACAGGAAGTACTGGAAAGGATCGAATCAGAGAGTTCCTCTATCTCTAAGCAACGGGAAATTTTGTTGGATTCTCTTAAAGAAAAAATGGCAGCACAGTATACTTGCCTTGAAACTTTCATCACTTTGTTGTGCAAGTTGACCAATGATGCCAAAGAAGGCCTAGCCATGAAGAAAGACTATGGTATATTGGTATATGACATAACATCTGTATTTTACCATGCATTTATAGAAGAGTTCAAGTCAAATGGGGAAATTCAGTCAGAGAGGCAACTTGAAGAAAGCCAAGGCTTACAGAATGACAGTGCAGAAGGTTAATTGTATTATAGTACTGCATGTTTATGTAACGGTATACAAATCTAGTAATAAAGCTTATACAACACTATTTTTTCCCATAACAGCATGTTTACATTAATCCATACTTAGGTTCTGTGTTTTATACTGGAGTTTTGTATTATCAACAAAAGGAAGCTGGTCGCTGGGAAGCAACACTAGCTGTTGGCAAAGATGCTATCACACTAGCACAAGTAATATTGTCATTACACCATGCCTTAATTGTGACAATTATTATTGTAGTACATTAAAAGTACAACTTCACTTGCTGAACAAGAGAGTTTGATATCTTTTAAGTTTAAGGAGCCTAATGGCACACTTCAATTGACTATGCCTACTGTAGGAAGAGTTCCGTGTGAGTATGGATGGAAAGTAAACCCAAAACAAGAACCAATGAAAGTATGTTCATGGATAATTATTATACATGCATGCATCATTAAAAACTGTACTGTTATAGATAATTCAGAGTGTTGTTGACAATACTTTAATAAGTAGTTGTAGTATGTCAGTTCATGCTAAACCAGATGTTGCTACTGAACCAATTCATCATCCAGTTAAATTACTTGGAATAGAGCCTGAAACTACTATTTACATTAGCAGACAACCTCCTTCTCCAGCAAAGGGTAATGTTGTTATGTTGCAATTAAAAATTATATTGGCATCTTATTTTTTAGAAAAAGTTACTAGATCAAATGCATCAATTTTAGATGAAAATAGATATGTATCAGGTAATAAAGAGAATTTCTGGTCAATTGAGACTAAACCCTTTCATTATAATTAATAGGTGTATCAAGCAGCATAGCTTGCGATATGATACGCAAATCATCTGATGATATAAAGAAAAATCTTAAGTTGACTCCATCATTTATACAGAGTCTGATTGAGAGAGAAGTAATTAAGGAAGGTCATAAAGATATTTTGAATGGGAGCTTTCATTTAACTGATGATCAAAGAATGGATTTGTTTATTATTTTCGTTTGTGATGCCATTAATGATGATGACGATAATTTTCTTTTCTTCTTGGAAGCAATAAGAGAGCAGAATTCTAGAACAGCTGATAAAGTAGCAGATGATTTAAAGGAGTGTCATGATGATAACTACAGATTTGAAAATTCTAATGAATTTGATTCTAATGGTCAGTATTTATATGATTATATCAATTATGGTCCTTGATACTGATTTAATGTACTTTTAATATAACAATCATAGCTATAGTTGTGTTTTATTAGTAATTTCTGTGATAAATTAGCTAACTTTGAACAAAAATTTATGAATAAAAAATCACAATATCAAAAACTGTACAACAAAATAGTAATAATAATAATAATAATAATATGAGATGATGAGGGGAGAGAGAGTATGAAGCATCTGTCTTAATTCTAATCAAAAATATCAAGATCAAGCTCGTTAAATATATTATTGGATCTGAAAGGATCAGCATCAACTTGATTCAAGAGCTGCTGCAGGTCAGAGCAATTCTCAAGCCCATCAATCAAACTGTGATAAGCTTGAGCTGAGCCCTCGAGATCAACTTCAGCAGGAAACAGGCCAGGAGGAAAGCCGTAATTGAAATCTTTTCTGTGTGGGGTCGGCGTTGTCATCTTCATGTAATTTTCAACAAGTCTCTGAGCAGTCACTGCATTCTCCTGCACAGTAGTGTCAGCTGGTTGAGTGACTACACTTGAAGACTGAGAGTCCACAAGAGACTGAGAGGAAGTAGAGGGAGCAGGAAGAGGAGGAGGTATGGTGCTGCTGCTGCTGCTTTTTGAGGTCTGCTGCCAGTTTAAATCAGGAAGAAGGTCGGTGAGTTCATTGTTTTTCATTCCCCCTCCTCTACTACTACTGCTTGCTCCTCTATTAACAGGACCAGAGGTTGATTGTTTGGAGGCATCAACTTGTGCCACTGTTTCTTGAGCCTGCTCTGACTTCTCCCCTCCAGTTGACCTAATAATAATAATAATAATAATAATAATAATAATAATACCATACTTATAACTTAAAAATAGCTTTACACAGCATTTGTAGATTGATAACCCTCACCTTGTATGTACTACATTAGTGCATACAACATATTCCACTTGATGAGAGAATGGATTAACAAAACTGAAGGCTTTCATTGCAAGCCAAACCCACTTCTTGTCCTTTGAGAGGAAGCGATAATGGACAGTTGGCATTGGAGTCCTCTGCTTCATTGCTAAAGAAAAGGAGAGACTCGTTATGATGTTAGGAGAGGGATTAAATTAAAGTACCTTCGTGGTGGAGCTGTATCATCTTTTGCATGTCATCAGGATGAAAGTAATCATAGGAGTTGTGACCAATGAGATCTTGGGGAAGATAACCCAAAATATTAGAGACACTAAAAAAATAAAATAAAATAATAATGATACATGAAGGAAAAAAAATAAAAGCGAAAAAGTTTAAATACCGTGGGTCAATATAGCTGAAACGTCCATCAACTCCAACTCTTGCAATAAACTCTCTATCATTGCTAGGTAGCATGGAACTAGCACAAGCGGAAGAGGTGGAGTCTCCAAAATGCTGCAACCTAGCAACAGCAACAAGACAGGCCCCATTGGCATCTTTCTCAACTTGTAAAGATTGTCTCTCAGCCGGAGTCAAATTCCTAATAACCATTAATAACCTTTAATAACCAGTACTTAATAACTAATATGACAACATTAAACATTTCAGATAGCCATAACTTTAAAAATATTAATCAAAATCAGCTCAAACTTTCTATACAGCATAAATACATCAATATGCATCAGAAAATGTAATAAAAATTGGGGGTGATTTCGGAACCGTTTTTTGGAAAAAACCATGGGCTATAGCCTTGGGTATTTTTCAGAATTTTGGCATTTTCTTAAAATAGCCATAACTCAAAAAATGGAAGTCGGAATCAGCTCAAACTTTCTACACAGCATAAGTATATCAATATGCATCAGAAAATGTAATAAAAATTGGGGGTGATTTCGGAACCGTTTTTTGGAAAAAACCAGTGGGCTAAAAAAATTAAAAAAAAACAAGATGAAGTAGGATTCCAAACGACCAACGAAA